TATCTCTTGTTTGAAATGTTTGGGACCAGAATTGTTGTGGAGTTTGGAATGTCGGCATATATGTAGTGAGCTATCTATCAGCTATCGTCGCTCAAGCCTAAACACGAAATTCATTGATGTTTCATGTTCTCTTTAGATACAGAGCCTGGAGGTAATTTTATACAAATTTTTAGCACACCTGTGTTTTGACTGCACCCCATCAAATGAGGTCAGGGTGGAATTTTCCACTTGTGGCATTGTATGGGCGCTAGTTTGGGGTTTGGGAATATTTCAGATGTCAGGTTTTTGGATGAGAGATGCTTAAGCTGTAATTAAAAAGAACAGAGGGTTAGGACTTTCCACCTGGGCAGGTTGCTGGGAGGTTCGGTGAGGTGACACAGAGGCATGTGTGTGGCGTGTGAGCTGCTAATGGCAGTTAGTGTCCCCGCTACTGTGACACAGGTGGGTTACTACCTCAGGGTCCTGCTCACTCAGCTCTGGGGGAGCATCCCCAGGAGACAGGGAACTTGTGGCTTCCAGAGACCAGCCTCTGTGGGGCTCCCCTGCCCCTACTCTGCGGGAGAAAAGCTGGTCTCTCTTGGCACAGGCTGCCAGCTGCCTTCATGGGCTCTCTGAGAGCAGCTCGCCTCCTTTAGCCCCAGCCTGAAGCCCAGCATTCCTGCCTTAGACACTGAGCCTGGCTTCCCTTGTTCAGGAAAACGGATGCGGAGATCCCACACCAAGGAAATTTGAGTGCAGGGCTCTGGGTGGGTGGGAGACCACAGGGATCCAGGGGCCTAGACCTTGCTGGGTTACAGTGGAATGGGAGGTTCTAGTGTCTAGTGTTTGACTGATGGATTGATTTGATTGGTCCTGCTAAATTGCTCAGGCTGGGCTTGAACTTGCAGTCCTCCTGGCTCAGCTTCCCAGAGTGCTGGGATTATAGACGTATGCCACCATGTCCAGCCCACAGTAGCCATTTTACTGTTTGTAAATGTGTGTTTGACAGTAGGCGAGAGTTTGGAAGCATATTCCAGAAAGGCTAGAGGCATCAGGGTCTTTCTCCTACCTCCTTGCCCCCTGCCCTCTGAGTAATCCTCTCCTTTCTCACCCGACCCCAGACTTTGAAAGCATCCACCTTTGCCTCTCCATAGTCACCCACGTCTAGGGCCCAGGAGCAAAAGGTTCATTTGGGGGCAAAGATCTTTCCGTGTCTTCACCCTTGCTGGGAATCCACACTTCTAAGTGAGGACAAGGACATGGACCTTGAAAAGCACAGTGCATTGCTGGGGCTGGATGGGAGTTCATGATGAGGACTGCCCTGCAGCCCCAGGCCCCAGGAGCACAGTTTCTGCTTCCTGCTGTTGTCACAGTCAGATGAGGCAGGCAGTGGGTCCAGGACAAGGACTTGCCTTCCTTTTCTGAGCTGGGAACTCTCTTCATCTTCTAACCCAGGTCAGAGAAAGCCCACCCAGCCACTCTGGCCCAGAAACTGGTTCTGAGCAACAGAGGCCATAGAGTCACAGAGACCTGAGATTAAATCCTGCCTTTCCCTCTTCCCAGCTGGGGGACCTTGGGAAAGTCACTTAACCTCTCTGAACCTCAGATTTCTTGCCTGTGAGATGGGAATAATTCTTCTTCCCATAAGGCACTCTTGAGGTTGTACGCAAGGCCCTCAGCTCAGTACCTGGCACAGAGTAGGTATTCAAGGAGCAGCAGCTCTCAGCCCATCCTCTCCCCTCTCATTGGCCAATGTCCTGACCTTTGTTTGTTTTTCTGCTACACACCCAGTGCCTATCTCAGGCCAATATGTGATGTCAAGTCCTAACCTGGGGTTCTTAGCAGAGGTGACCTTGAACTTGGCTCAGGGGTGAGAAGTTAGGAAACTGGACATGTTGTTCTTTCTGCCCTGTGAGTGTGCTTTGTGGCCGTCCTACCTTGTGGCCAACCATGGGTAGCAGTTCCTCCTCTCCCCCGTGCTGGCTCCCTGGACTTCCCTCTGGCATTGGGAGACCTCCATGGGCTGACAGGGCCCGGCCCTAGGTACATAGCCAGACTGGAGCCTGTCAGGGAGTCCCTGTGCGTGTGTTCCAGAGGAGCTGGGGTTCCAGGCCTCCCTGCTAGCCACACCTCCTCACTATGGCACCAGCTGGCAGGAAGGCCCTGCAGTTCCGGCCAGCATGGGAAGCCCCATGCTGCCACTTCCTTGACCTGTGCAAAGCCTCAAGGCTGTTCCAGGTGAATCAAAGACACTGAGGGTGCCGCTCATAGGCTGGGGCTACTGGGGCATGTGCAGTGAGAGGCCCCAAGAAAGAATGGGCAAACCCTAGTAACCAGTGTGCTAGGCCAGTGAGGGCAGCCATTGGAGCAAGGGTCACTGAAGGCTCACTGAGTGAGGGACAGACATGACGACAGCCATCCGTCTGAATTCACGGGAGAGTGAGTCTAAGACCCTGTGAATACCAAAATCTGTGGACGCTCAAAGCCCCTATCTAAACTGTCTGCTCTTTCTGTAAACTTTACATCATTTCTAGCTTACTTATAATGCCTAATACAATGTAAATGCTCTGCAAACAGTCGTTACACCATATTGTTTAGGCAAAAATGGCAAGGAAAACCCTGTATCTATTTGATATAGTTTTTTACGAAAGATTTTCTATCCAGGGTTGGTTGGAGCCACAGATGGAAAGCCTGTAGCTACTGAGGGCTGACGGCCAGATGGCAGGATTCTGGTGCTAGTTTGCATGTTCCAGCCAACGAGAGAGGCATGTGAGGAAGGCACAGCCCTGAGGGATTTCCAGATCCTCCACCTGGTGTTCCAGTGACTTCTCTGGGGATAATGGTGGGTTTGCATGTGCACATGTGGGGTGTGGATGTGGCTGAGTAGAGTGCACTGTGCCTGTGAACCCACCACGGTCTGCTTGCAGAGCACACCAAGGAGTCCCTGGCACTGACCACACCCAGAGTGCAAAGAAGGCCACGTGCCGGCATGGGCAACCTCCTAGGATAAATGTGGGGCACGCGGGTTGAAGAGGACAGCGCCTCTCCACACCGGAGCCCCTCATTCCCATGGAGCCTTTGTCCTTTAGGGCAGGAAGGAGGGAGCCTGCCACCATGGCCTGTACGTCACGCCTTGCGATGGGAATCCACAGGGTGCTGCCTGCCTGCAGTGGTGCTTGCCTTCGGTCTCCCACTCTGGGCTTCAGCTCTAGGAAGGTCCATGGTGGAAGCCTGATGCTGGCTGCTCAGAAGTCTGCACATCTAGGACCTGGGGCAGCTGGTGGTTCCGGGCACCAGGATGAGTGGGCTGGGGCCGGGGCCTGTGATGCCTGCAGCTTTTGCTGCCATACAACCTGGCTCCATCCTTGGCTGGCCCAGGAGGGGCACGTGAGCATGAGGCAGCGCTCTAGTTCCCCTCCCAGCCTGAGCCTTTGTGTGAGACACACATGTGGTTGGAAGTGCTGTTCTCTCCATTTGGTGGACAACAGTCCCTTTGTGGGTTGTAGGTTGGTGGCTTTGCTTACAAATGGGAAAGAAGTGGTGGCTGAAGGCACAGGGAGAACAAGAGCAGGCATGCAAGCCCATGCCAGCCCCTGGGAAGCCTGTGGACACGGGTCGGAACTGGAGGCTGAGCTCTGCTGCCTGTCACTAACTGCTGCCTGTGCCTGTGGGCTTGTGTGGGTCGCTCGTGGTTCCCGAATATTTATACCCAGCAGCTCTAATGACAGCCAAAGTCACCCCCACTCTGCAAAAAAAAGAAACAGCTTCTTAGGGGTTCTCTGCTGTGCTCCAGGTCAGCCAGCTCATAAATAGCAGAGCTGGGATTGGAACCCGGGACTCTCAGAAACTGCTTCACCATTGCTGTGTCCTTCTTCTGACTGGCTGAGCAAGTCACTTCTCTCTGAGTCGCTCAGAGAGAAAACTCAGGAATTAGTTGTAGGAGGGATGGCACGTCCCACGCCGACATCAGAGATCATACTGTTAGCGATACAGAATATGTTTCATGAAACGAGCAAAGTACAAGCTATACTCAGTGTGACTTCAATTTTACAAAATAACACACATGCATGCGTGCACACGGATGTACATGTGGCAGGAAGCTTGTTAACGGTGGTGATTATATATTGGGCTAATAGGAATGTAGATAATTTAGTTTTCTTTGTAGGGAGGTACTTAAAAGTTTTTTTACAGTGAAATGTTTTTTATTTTTCAAAGAGTTATTAAAAACAGAACCTAGAGTGGCTATTGGGACAGTTCAGGACATAAGTGTCCTCGGGTGAGGGTGAGCTCCCTGCCCTTGGGGGCAGAGGCCTAGCATCTGTCCTGTGGCTGCTGTCCAGGGCTCCCTGGTCAGGGGAGTGCCTTGGATTGGGTCCTTCGGTGAATGGTGTGAGGTTTTTTCCACAGGTTCCCAGGTCTAGGAGAGGAAGGGATAGTTCTGAGCAGGGCTCCTCGAGAGCTTGTCTAACCCTCAGCCACAGCTGGGAGCCTGTTCACATGCAATTCCTGGCTGGGAAGGTCTGGGTGGGGCCGAGACTGTGCATTCTAACAGGCTCCAGGGCAGTGCTGCTGCTGGTCCAAGGCCCTGGAGCACTTTCAGCTGGAGAAGGGCTCAGCATGGCCTCCCTAGTGCCCAGGCACTGTAGGAACAGCAAGATTGCAGTGGTAATTGGAAAAGTACCCAGAATGTTAGGACCAGCAGTTTGAACCAGGGTCCCCTGAGCCAGGTGACCCCACTCCCACCCCAAGACTTTGTTTGACTTCATGGAAAGAGCTCAGGGTAGGGATTCAGCAGTCCACAGTTTGAAGCCCTGCTTTGAAGCTTGTTAGCTGCATGTCCCTGGGCAAGCCAGTTCACCTCTCTCAGCCTCGGTTTTCACATCTGTAAAGTAGAGGTGAGAATGCTTGCTTGATTTAGTCATGGTGGGGTGAAATGGGGTGCTGTACGCTGGGCATCTAACTCAGAACCTGCCCCCTGGTGAATGTTTGTGCCCCCTTAAAATGCACTCCTCCCCCTGCAGGTGGATGAGATTTACCACGATGAGTCCCTGGGTGCCCACATGAACATTGCCCTTGTCCGCTTGATCATGGTTGGCTACCGGCAGGTGAGCCCCTGCTGACTGCTTAGCAGGAAGAGTTGGGAGGAAGAAGGACCATGGAGCCACGGTGTGAGACCTGCTACAATGTGTCCAGAGGGACATGTGTTCAGGAGACTTCAATTCCGAAATCAGAACCCTGAGCCCTTTAGATTCGAAGCTCAGGGTGGAGGCATTTGAAGTGGAAAGCAGGAAGTCATGGGTTCTTTGGTGGAGGAAGCTGACAGCCCTATGTCCTTACGGAGAGTGGCCACTCTTCCCTGAGGAATGGATAGGGAAATGGGCTTCCAGAGGGGCAGTGACCAAGACAAGTCATGTCACGTTGAGCCTGGGGACCCCAGGCTGTACAGTGTTAGAAGGGGTCACTTATTCTCCCTAAATCGAGGGTAACAACTCAACTTACATCTAAGCTGTAACGATTTGATTGGATAGTGAATGAGATGTTAGGAAAACAGCCAGAGCAGTGCCTGCCTTGCAGGTTAGTCCAGGAGATTGGAAGTACAGTAGCATGTGTTCAAGGCAGTGTCCAAAGCAAGGAAGACTGTGTGGGCAGGCACTGCAGTTCCCTGGGCCTGTGGGTGGGAGGACAGCTACCACAGTACCCCGGGCTCCGACCTTTCCCTCTTGCCACTCTCCCGGCCTTGCAGTCCCTGAGCCTGATTGAACGCGGGAACCCTGCCCGAAGCCTGGAGCAGGTGTGTCGCTGGGCGCACTCCCAACAGCGCCAGGACCCCGACCATGCTGAGCACCACGACCACGTCGTCTTCCTCACCCGGCAGAACTTTGGGCCCTCAGGTATGCAAGGTACTGTATTTGCTGTGGTCAGGTGTGTGCAGCCTGCAGGGCAGAGCTGGGGATTCAGGCTGGGCCTGGAGAAGGATGGGCTGTCTGGGGAGCTGTCCCTGCGTGGATAGGTGGGTGAGCTTTGGCATGGTTTCTTGGAGAGCATGGCAAGTGAAAGGGTCCCCACTCAGGTGCCTGCTGTCTTGGTCCAGCCTGCAGGTGGCTGTGAGTAGCCAGGTTTGGGGTCTTGTGCTCAATGTCCCAGCTGCTCAGAGACTGGCTGCTCGAAGACCCCCCCCAGTGAACCTCAAGATGCTGTTGCCCACACCATGTCCTGTGTCCTATGCAGACTGTGGGGTCTTGGGGATGGTTGTGTGGGCTGCAGGAAAGTTCATGCTCCACTCGATGCCTTAGTAGCCCAGCTCAGGGACCCAAGATCAGTTCAACACCTGGATTCTCCCAGTTCTCCAGTGGGGACAGTCATAATCTTTGCTTTCCTCCCTGCCATGCTGATCAGAGGGTGAGGGGAGCATGAAATGTCCATGACAGAGTATAGGCAACTGTATGTGTCTGTAAATGTGTGCAGCTTCCCTCCCCCTAGTATTCACATGGGGAGACTGAAACAGAGCGGTGAAGAGGCTTGGCCATGTCCCACAGCAGGCAGGTCTGAGGCCAAACTGGCTCTCTAGACACCACTTTGAGGGCTGTTCTTTCACATTTAATGCTAGAAATTAGTCAGACAGCCCTACCCACCCAAAGGGCTTCTTGTGTGAACCAGTGAATCTCCAGACATGGTTTGTGGACACACACACACACACACAGGCACACACACATATACACGGAGATATGTGCACACACAGACACTGTACACGCATGTACAGGCATGTGCACAGATACCCTGCAGGCACCTGGACACACATAGAGACACAAACACACACTTACGCGTGTGCGACATGGCATGGACAGCAAATGCTAGGCCCCAACCTCCAAACACTGTAGCCTCATTATGTCCCCCAAACCATGCGAGATGCAGGACCATTTCAGTAACACTGCAACAGGGAAAGCTTGCTGTAGTTGACTGTAGGTCCAGGAGGGAGCGCTTCCCACCGGCACCCCTCCTCGCAGCCTTCCCCAGCTCAGTCTGCCCTCCCAGAGGTGCACGTGGGTGTGTGCGTGTGTGCGTGTGTGTATGTGTGACCTTGGTGGTGCTGGGGATTGAACCCAGGACCTCAAGCACTTTAAGCGCACAGTCCAGCCCTGGGTGGTTTGAGGAGCAGGCCCTGAGGCATGGGCCTCACACACAGCAACACTCTGCATGGTGGCCGTGGCCTGTGCTGCTCCGTGCCAGCCTTGCTGCCCTGCTGCAGTGTCTGTGGCCGTCTGCACCTTTGCTGGTGTCCCCACCTCTGGAGAGTCACTTTACCTGTCCTCAAGACCCGTCTCTGCCACCCCGTAAGTCATTCCTTGTGCCCCTGGATCCCACCGGCCGAAACCATTTTCTTACCCTCCTGCAGGCCACCCCTGCTCCCACCTTGCTTCCTGAGCTCTGGCCCCTCAGGCCTACCTCTAATCCAATCACATGATCTCCCTGCCAAACTGGACCTTCCTTAATGCCACGTGGGGTAGGAGAATGAGTCTGATTTGTCTCTGTTTTCTCCGTGGTATCCAGAGAAATTTTTTTCTCTTTCGTACTTTCTTTTTTTCTTTTCTTTCTTTCTTTTTTCTTTTTTTTTTTTTTTTGAGATAGTGCCACTCTATGTTGTCCAAACTGGTCTCAAACTCTCTGGCTCAAACAATCTTCTTGCCTCAGTCTCCTGAGAAGCTGGGACTAGAGATGCATGCCAATGTGCCTGGCTCCCCATAGTAGTCAACATAGTGCCACCCCCTGCCTCCACATAGAAAGCATTCCAAGCTTGTTTGTTGACTGACTGACTGACTGTAGGAAAAAGATGGTGTGGAAGGGGAGTGTGCACAGGTTCATACACAGCCCAGAAATTCCACAGCTTGTTTGGAGAAGTAGCCAATAGAGTGTGAGAAGCTATAGGCCAGGAGGGAAGCCACCAAACCCTAGGACACAGGGGTAGCTAGGCCCAGGGTTGCTGTGCATGGGTGGGATTCTGTGAGTGTCGTTCTTCTCTAGGGGCTTCTAGCACTGACCTGGTCACGATGTCCCTTCAGTGGCTGGCTGGGCTCAGACCTCAGCATGTCCCACCTAACCTGCCTATGGCCTCTCTCCCTCTCTCCCTGGCAGGGTATGCGCCTGTCACTGGCATGTGCCACCCCCTGAGGAGCTGTGCCCTCAACCATGAGGATGGCTTCTCCTCGGCTTTTGTGGTGGCCCACGAGACCGGCCACGTGTAAGTGGCATTGGGAGGATGGGCAGGGCTGGTGGCTCTGTGGCCATGGGCTGTGCCATGGGCTCCAAGGAGTCCCGGGGGTGAAAGGTGTTGTCCAGATCGGGCTCTGGTGCCAGTGTCTCAGGAGAGGCCAGCAGAGCTGGCTGGCCCAGTGTCACAGATCTGTGGGTTGACAGGGGAGGGGCCAAGGAGCACTCGGCAATTCTGGGCCTGTCCTGTGTGGCCATGAAGACCAGATTGTGGCCCTGGCTTTGGGCAGGCCAGTGACCGTGTCCCCATCACAGGCAGGCCTGCTGTCTGGGTGGCCTCCATCCCTGGCTTCCCTCTGCCCCGTGCTAACCCTTCTGAGACCCCGTCCAGCTTGCCCTGGTGCTCCTTGTGCAGAGGAGCTGGTCGCAGCCCATGGTAAACAGGCTCATTCAGAGCCCTGCCAGCGGGCCAGGCGAGGCTGGTGGGCAGGATCTATGGCCTGGAGGTTGTTCAGTGCACAGTCATTCATTCGTTCAGCCATAGTTCTTGAGCACCTACCGTGTGCCACGCCCTGCTCTAGGAATGGCGCCATGGCAGAGATCAGGACAGAGGCACCCTCCAGAAGGCCCTGCCAATATAGGGGCTGAGCCAGGGGACACCAGAGGGCCAGTGGTGGCTCTTCTCCCTGCGCCTCAGTTTCCTCCTGGGATTTCCCAGGGAAATCTCTGGTCCCCTCCTTGCTGTGGGAATTGCTGGCTCTATATATTCTGGACCCAGAAGTCTGCAGGATGGGAGTGTCCACTCTTCATGGAGCAGAGGCCCCTTCCTGTGGACAGAGAAGCTCAGGCTCAGAGGTCCTTATGTTTGTCTAGGGGTCAAGGCCAGGTGCATCTACCTGGGAGTAGTTAAGAAATTGGCACCGTTGGGCTTTAGCATTACATACTATCTATAAAGAGCACAGTTTTGAATTTAATCTATCACTGGGGTTGTTGCCTGTCATATGCACAGTGCTGTGCTGAGTTCTCTGGGTCTGGCATAAAGAGGGGCTCCATGGAAGAGGCTGAATCTGAGCTCCTGATTCAGGTAGGGAGTACATTCTCCTGCACCTGCCTTCCCAGGGCAGACTCCCCAGAATGATTTGGGGCTCCCCTCTGTCCCCCACCCCACCCTGCTCCCAGGCTTGGCATGGAACATGATGGGCAGGGGAATGGCTGTGCGGATGAGACCAGCCTGGGCAGTGTCATGGCGCCCCTGGTGCAGGCTGCCTTCCACCGCTTCCACTGGTCCCGCTGCAGCAAGCTGGAGCTCAGCCGTTACCTCCCGTAAGTCACTTCTGCCCTTGGCCAGGGATGGGGGAGCAAACAGCCTGCTACTCTGGGCAGAGGTTGCCCAGCTAGCTGTCACCCTCCAGTCATCACCCCGCCTGGCTTGACTCATGTGGCTCCTCCAGCCCCCACTCCCACCACCTGGCTGAAAACAGCCCCGTCACATCACAGGTGGGTTAGCCCCCTTGTGCCCAAGTGGCCCTGTGCATGGTATTCCTGCTAACACCCCAGATCTCCTGGCCCCACCCAAGAAACCCTTGGGAATCTGCTGCGGGTTGGGCCTGGGTAGCTGCATTCATCCAGCACTGCAGGTGATGCTCGTGCTAATGGTTAGTAGTCACCAGGCTGGAGTGGGGGTATCTTGGTTTCCCCTGGGCCCCAGGGAAGGGGGATGCCAAGGAGAGCCTGTTGGGTACAGCATGAATGTCAGACTCAGGAGCTTGAGGCCTAGGAATGAGCAGAGTGGATCTGGGTGGGGCAGGTAGAAGAGAGATGGAGTCGCTGATCTTCCAAGGCTGCCAGCTGGGGCAGCCTGCCCAGCGTACCCTGCAACATCAGTTGGCTTTGCCTCTTCCCTCGGGCCAGAATGAGTCCTGAACTTGTCAAGCATCAACTCTTAGTCTTGGCTAAGAGTATTTCCTTTTAACATGGACAAAACTGACTTGTAAACAGTCTACAAACTGAGCTGCTAACCCTAGTTAGTCCCTGCCCCTCGCTGCAAACGGAGTCCTCCCAGTCACTGGTGGAATCCAAGTTCTGAGTGAGGGGGACACGGGGCAGCCTTCCTCCCTGGAAGAAACCCTCCTGCTCAGGGAAGTGGGTGCAGGTTCCTTGCTCATCCAAAGCCCCAATCCCTGGGGAGGGAGTCCACGGGACTCCTTGTCGTCAGGCTGGCTCACCTCCCGTCTCTACTGCAGGTCCTACGACTGCCTCCTCGATGACCCCTTTGAGCCCGCCTGGCCCCAGCCCCCAGAGCTGCCTGGGATCGACTACTCAATGGATGAGCAGTGCCGCTTTGACTTCGGCACTGGATACCAGACCTGCTTGGCAGTGAGTAACCTTGGCCTCTGCCAAGCTAGGACACAAGGTCCCTGTCCTCCTGTGACCCAGGCTAGTCATTCAGGAGACACTTTCCACCTGGCCAGCCAGTGGCCCTGGGCGTGAGTCCCCAGGCTTGGAGCCAGCCGCCATGGTGGGGGTGGCAGGGAAAACACCTGCGGGTCAGATGTGCAGAGGCTTGAACATTGGTTTGTCCTGGGAGAAATGGAATGAGTAGCTCAGAGAGGCATCAGGGTGTCAGACCAGGAGCTGTGCCCAGGGGAGCAGAGTTCTCATTCTCAGGGGGGTTGGGGGACATTTGGGTCTAACACTCCACTTGTGCACATCACCTCTCTCTGGGGCCTCACTTCTGGCTCCCTATCCCCATGCCTGAGGCTGTGGATACGAGTGAGTATAACTCTGTCCCTGCCCTGGAGGATGGGGTGGGGAATACCCTTGAGCCTGGAGGTCAGTAGAACCAAGCAGTGGCACTGGGGCCGGGCTGAGGCTCACAGGAGGGGGTTTCTGATGGCCCAGGCCTTTATATCCCACACCGAGGGGATGTGTCCCCCCTTCCTCCATGGAAGTCCTGTTTGGTATCATGAGAAGCTCCTGCGTGTGGTCACCTTCTCTGCTGTCCAGGCCACGCTGGACATGTGGTCTGACAAAGCACTGCTTTGCGGGTGGAAGAACAGGGGGTGGGGCTCTAGCGCCCAGATGCTGTGCTAGGGGGATGCTTGTCTGGCTGGCAGGGTGTGCTGAGAGAGGATGTTAAGGAACCTGGGGCTTGTCTGGAAGGGCTGGTGCATGGAGTGACCAACCTCTGGTCTCACTGAGTGTCCACATTAGAGGGAGATGGGGGGGTTCAAACTCACTGGGTCCCCTCAGGGGCCTCCTGTGCACAGGGATTTGAAGCATCATGGGCCAGAACTCCCCAGAGCCTCCAACCCTGGTCCCAGCTCATGACAAAGTGGCTTCTGCTGAGGTAGGGATGGAGGCCAGGAGAGAGAGGACAAAGGGCCTGTAGGCTGTGCTGGCCCCCTCTCAGGGCCCTCATCAGGGAGGAGGGCCCCTGGGATACTTGGGCGGGGGTTGAGCTTGAGGACTTACGGGGTTCTGGCTTTCTCAGAGTCCCAGACCCCAGCCTCTGCCACACCCTCCGCTCTCTCTGTCACTGCCTTTTGCCCTCCGGACAGCTGGTCAGAGCTGGAGAGTGCAGCCTGTGACTCCTTCCCCTTGCCACCAGTTCAGGACCTTTGAGCCTTGCAAGCAGCTGTGGTGCAGCCACCCTGACAACCCGTACTTCTGCAAGACCAAGAAGGGGCCCCCGCTGGACGGAACCGAGTGTGAACCAGGCAAGGTACCGGCAGGGTCTGCAGCAGAAGTATCATCCTGGGGCATGGGGCATCCATTCTGGCATGGGTGCAGGGCCCCAGGGGCCCCCCTTCCTGTGCGTATCTGAAGGGGAACAGTGCAAAAACACAGGTACAGGCCTTGTGTGAGGTCGATCTGCCCACGACCTCACACTCCCTTCCTTCTCGTGCCACAGCTTTTGCCTCTGAAGTCAGCCAAGTTTAGTGTGATCTCAGAGCCCATGTGGCAGGAAGGGTGACTCCTGTGTCACAGATGAGAAGAATAGACAGGCTACAGAACTTTTCGGGGCCACACAGGAGAGATTAGCAGACAGGAGACGAAGGGAAGCCTCCAGGTGTCCCTGCCCCCCTGCACCCCTGCCTCTGAGCTGTCGCCCCCCACTTCCTCGTTGCCCTTCAAGTGTTTCCTGATCTGTTTTCTTCCTACATAGTGGGTCCCAGAGCTTGTTTTCAGGGATCTCGTGCCTGGTTTCTGAGCTGAGCCCTGTCCTTGACCACTATGTGGTGACCTCGAGCCAGTCTTTGAACTTCCCCAGTCCTTCCAACCCAGCATACCTCTGACCAAGCATCCTTCCCGCCCCTCAAGTTGGTTCTGAAGCGACTGGATCACATCAGAGCAAGTGAGAGAGCTGAGAAGATGCAAGTGCTAAGAGGCTTGTGCAGCCAAGTGTGGTGGTGCACACCTGCCATCTCAGCACCCGGGGAGGCCAAGGCAGGAAGATCGCAAGTTCCAGCCCAGCCTGGGCAACTTAGTGAGATCCTGCCTCAAAAATAAAAAAAGAAAAAAGGCCTGGGGATATAGCTCAGTGCAGAGGACCTGGGGTTGTTCTCCAGTACTGCACCAAAAGAGAGAGGAAGAGAGAGAAAGCGGGAGGCAGGGATTTTGCTTAGCCTCAGCTGTGAGCCCAGCATGGAGCACCTGCCCTCGGCCCTCTGACACTTGACCTCTGTCCTGCTGGGCGTCTTCTGGTTTGCGCCTCATAGATGGGTGTGGCTTCCTGTGGGCCTGGGCAGCCAGTCCAGTGGGCTCCAAACCTTGTAGGCCCTCTTCCCGGTCTGTCCACCCCTGACATTTTCCAGGGTATTTTCAGAGTCCCAGGTGCTCCCCAGTCGGTTTTGCACAAATGCTTAGTCAGTGGTTCTCAAATGTGGCTGTGTGTTTGAGTCTTTGGGGAGTTTAACACACGCCCCCCCCCCCCCGCCCCAGCAGGGAATGACTGCAGATGATCAGAGAGGATCTTTGGGGAAATGCTCCAAAATTGGATGTGGTGAAGGTTGCACAACTGTGAATTTATTTTTTAAAAGATCATTGAATTGTACACTTGAAGTGGGGGACTTTGTGGCATCTCATAGCTTCCTAAAGCCCTTACCTCTAGAGATTTTCACTCCATTGGGCTGGGGGAAGTGACAGCACCTGGAGTTTTAATGGTTCCCCTGAGGCTCTAAGGTTGAGAACTGCTGCCTTCTCTTTAGAAAATCCCAGAGAAGGGCCAGGTATGTGGCTCAGTGGCGCCATGCCTGCCTGGCAAGTGCAAGGTCCTGAGTTCGATCCCTGGTACCAGAAAATCCCAGAGAGCTTTCTATATTGCATCCATGTTACCTTGTAGCAAAAGGGAAGGGAGTTGCCTTTAGTTGAGCCCTTATTTGAGAACCTGGTCCAGTCCTCAGGCTGTTGTAGAGTTCGTGCCTTCAGCTCTTACAGAACAGTTCCATTTAACAGGTTAGTAAACTGAGGCTCAGCAAGGTGAAGTGGCCACACATAACCAGTAATTGCCAAGCCGAGATTCAAATGCAGGCCTTGTTGACTTAATGTATACACTCACTCCACTGCAGGGACAGATTCTTGCCTCCCAGGGACACATCTGCTTGTAGCTTCTGGAAGGTGACTCAAGGCACAGAGCCAAGATCAGCTCTAGATAGTGTGGAAAAATTGTGTCCTTTATTTCTCCTGGGGTGATGAATAAAATAATTGCACATTTATTATCATCATTAATCTCGTGAAATAATATCTGCCTCTGGAGGGCTGCATGTGCCAGGCACTGAGTGCTATGGGTGGGTGTAGCTCTCCACATTGTACCCTTGAGGAGCCTCAGGAAGCTGAGCCCCTGGTCTGAGGTTACTCAGCTCATGGGAGCGGTGGGATTCTGTCCGCTGCCAGGCTCTTTCTCTTGGCATCTCTTTCTCTGGACTCCCTGTGGTGTTCTAGCTGTGCTGTTTGCCTGCTCAAGCAGCCTCCCTGGCAGGCTCTGCTGCAGTGGCCCAGGGTGACCTCATGCCCTCTGCTCCACCCCAGTGGTGCTTCAAAGGTCACTGCATCTGGAAATCACCGGAGCAGACTTATGGCCAGGATGGAGGCTGGAGCTCCTGGAGCAAATTTGGGTCGTGTTCTCGGTCGTGTGGGGGCGGAGTGCAATCACGCAGTCGGAGCTGTGACAATCCGCCGTGAGTGTGCTTCCCTGGGTTGGGCAGGGCAGGGGACCCCTCTCTGGGGCGGAAGGGCATGGAAGGGAAGGCAGTGGGGAGACAGGGTGTGGGAGTGAGCAAATGTCCCCCAAATGTCATGTACTGTATGGATGAGGACCCAAAACTGGGGTGGGTCTGATCACACAACCTGCATTTGCTGGTAACCAATCAGATCTGGCCTCTATGAATGTGTTCAACCTAGTGATGCTCAAATGCTTGTGGTGCAGATGTCCAGAACCTGGGTGGGCCCGAGACTGCCAGTTAACCAGTCCTCCAGTGACCTTGATCCTCCAGCTAAACTCTGAGTGAACACTGATCAACACGTGTTGGACGTGACCCTCGACTTTATCTTCTATCACATGGGGCAAAATTTCCTTCAATTTTCTTAACCTACCTCTAACATCAAATCCCCTCAGTCCCCACACAAATGTCAGCATTCTGGGGTGACATCTATTGGTCCCTCCTCATCTGCTCTGCAGGACCTCCTCCCCCAGTCCATGGCTTTGGAACTCGTGAGCCTCAACTCACCACAGTCCCATTGCCTAAGCTGAAGGAGCTCGCTTAGGGCAGCAGACTGGCTGAGGCTGCCTTACGTGTCAGCTGGCCCTAGGGACCTCTATACTGACAGGGCCCGGCTCAGTCCCTCCTGTAGTGTGATGAATGGCAGATCACAGGATCCTCAGTAGTGGCCATTCATATTCTGCAGAGATAAGAAGCTCACTCCCTAAAGAAGCAGCTATACTGGGCTGCTGCAAATAGAAGCCAAATAGTCTGCCTTGTAATTTTCATTTGTTGAAGAAACAAAAGTCAAGGTGATAGGAATCTATAGCAGCACCCACCCTGCAGTCAGGACTAACAGTTATGTCCTTGATCAAAGCTGTGATTGAGCTTCCCTATAATAATAACTGTTTTATTTTATGAAGCTTAAATGAAAGAATATGTGTGGCCTAGGCACCATGTCCAGCACAGGGGGAGCATATAATAGATGATAGCTGCTGTTATAATTATTGGTTTTACAAAGTGTGAGGAGCACTTTGTCAGAGCCGGGCGGGATGCTAAGCACTTAGGTGCATAAGCCTGCATGATTCTCAGCATCTGTGAGCAGCACCTATTAACCTTGGAAACTTTGTATCGATTAGCACTTGAATACTTTGGAGTCTCACCTAGTGCTCTTGGTTTAACAGAGAGAAGAGTATAAATTGCTTTATAGAACACTCTTTCTTATCATTCTTCTCAGATGTACCAGGAGTGGGCCGGGGATTTAGCTCAGTGGTTCTGGCAACCTGCCTCGCAAGCGCAAGGACCCAAGTTCGATCCCTGCTACCAAAAAAAAGAGATATTATGGTCCCTCTTTTTAAGGAGAAATTAAGGCACAGCACAGCCAGGACTTGGACACCCCTCCTCCTGAGGGAGGTGTCCTGCAGTCTCTGAGCTCAGCAGCCATACTGCAGGTCCCTCTCTAGCCCCTGAGTTGGTGGAACTCTTGTGATGCTGCCCCTGGCAGCCAGCCCAGCCCCGGCCTTCCCAGCCAGCTAGGTCACCAGGTCTCTCTGTGCCAATCCAGCCCAGCCTATGGAGGCCGCCCATGCTCAGGACCCTTGTTCGAGTACCAGATCTGCAACAGGGAGGACTGCCCTGGGCCTTACGAGGACTTCCGGGCCCAGCAGTGTGCCAAGCGCAACTCCTACTACATACACCAGAATGCCAAGCACAGCTGGGTCCCCTATGAGCCGGATGATGGTGAGTGCCTCCCCACCCCTAGTGTCTTGGGCACTCATTGGGGCCATGTGAGGCCACCCTCCTGTGCTCCCACCAGTAAAGGTGGAGGGATATCAAGGCATCAGAAAGGACACTCTGACTCAGGCTTAGAATGCCCGGATGCTCAAGCTGGAAGGGACCTCAGGGGCCTGTCATTGCAGACTCCTCTGGGCACCCTTGCTGGGAGTGTTCTTCCTTCTGGTTGGACTCCTCCCATTCTGAGGAGCTCACCACTCTCCTGCTATCACCTGCCTGGGTGTGCTGGTCGGGACCCTGCCTGACCTCCAGAGTATTGGAGCCCCAGGCCCAGGTCCCACTGGGAATCTGAGTCCTGTGCAGGAGATCCAAGGCCATCTTGGACGTTTTGGCTCCAGCCTGGAGTCCCGAGTGCTGGAGGCAAGAATTCATCAGGTGTCCTGTGAGGTCTGGGACCTGGAGCAGGAACAACTAAGTTCCTTAGGAATGGGCTGCAGGAGAGGGTCACTCTGGAAGCCTTCTGGTCCCATCAGAACCTGAACAAGCAGCCATGGTGTGTGGAGGGCAGCAGGGAGGCTGGGGAATCAGCTGAACTTTGGGCTTTTCCCAGGACTTGTAGACAAATCACAGGAAATCAGTTAAGCCCTGGCCTTGTTTCTAAGAAGCACAGCGAGTGTTTACATGTTCTCTGGAACCTCCTTTTTAGGACATCAGCAGCCTGAGTAGGAGAACATTTCACTGCAGAACGGGAAGGGACCTTTCCCCTGTCTTATCACAGCTCCATTCGCAGCTCTCATCCAAGCAGCATTGGGCTTGACCTTGACACTGCCATCTTATGTGTGTGTGAACACGTTCAGATGCACCAAAGCTGTGATGGGTGTGCCCGGTGACGTGGGGTAGAGGTCTGCCCCTCAAGCCCCCAGGTTAGAATCCCGCTGAACTACTCACTGTGTAGCCACAAGCAAGTTCTTTAACTTCTGGTCCTCAGTTTCCTCCTCTGTCGTGCTAGAATCTGCCTTATTGAGGTGTTGAGAGGGTTACATGAACTAATTCATGAAAAGCATTTAGGGTTGCATATCAAGGGTGTGTGAAGGCTTTGGAAATAGCCAGTACACAGTAAGCACTAAGCATTGGCTTACTATGATTCTTACTATTTTGTCACTTGATTTTTCTCAGTAACCAAGTGATGTGGCATTTTACTCATCAGGAATAAGAGTAATAGAAAACATGAGAACGTTTGGCCCAGGTCCTGACCTAGTCAGTAAGTGCCTCAGCAGGGGTCTTAAGTCTCTGCTCCAGGAAGAGTACTCCCTCTCCTGCCCCAGGCCAACCCTAGACCGTCTTAGCTGGGCTGCGCACCAGTGTCATCCTGGGCTGCCTGCTCTCTGGCAGTCCAGCTGAGGCTCAGCGTGGTCCCTTTTCCCACAGACACTCAGAAGTGTGAGCTGATCTGCCAGTCGGTGGACACGGGTGAAGTGGTATACATGAACCAGGTGGTCCACGACGGGACACGCTGCAGCTACCGAGACCCGTACAGTGTCTGTGCCCGCGGCCAGTGTGTGGTGGGTGCCATCCGGGGGATGCTCTGCAGTGCTGTCCTCATGCTCCATAGGAGATTGTGTGGCCATGTCTGCTGCACTCAGGAAGCCCCTGGGTCCCTGTACAGCCCTGGGGTACTGGAAAGGGGTCACTTACTGCCCAGCCCCATTTCCGGGAGAGGAGACCGCAGGAATCGACTGGCCAGGTTTAGGTCCCATGGTGAATTTGGGGGAGGGCCTTGTCTTGGGAGGGCTTTGGGCCAGGGTTCCTCTCCAGGGAGGGCCTGGAGACTAGGAAGGGAGCAGGGGCTGCCAGCCTGGGTGGAATGCTCCTCCCATTTGCCTCACCTCTGCCTCAGCCCATCGGCTGTGACAAGGAGGTGGGGTCCATGAAGGCAGATGATAAGTGCGGAGTCTGTGGCGGTGACAACTCCCACTGCAGGACTGTGAAGGGGACGCTGGGCAAAGCCTCCAAGCAGGCAGGTGAGCAGGCTGGGGCTGGGTGACCCTCGGGTAGCCTCTCCCCTTGATCCAGGCCATGGTTCTGACAGGCAGAGGAACCCTGGAGCCTGTCTCATTGTAGGGTTGATGACTCTTAGAAAGGTCTTGAATCAAGGTGGCCATGCGGGATCCCCATGGCCTATTTTATCTAAATGCCTACAGTAGCTTAAGTGTGAGAAGCAAGATGGAGAGAGAATTCAGAGGAGCAAGAAGGAGGGGAAAGAGCAGATGTGAAAGAAGAGAGTCAGGAAGGTGCGGAATCCTAGAGACACACATGTGTGCATGCCATGGCCCTTGCAGGGTCCCACCCGCAATCTGCAGACTAGGAAAGAGGACTGGAGAGCATCTGCTAATGAGATGCTCCTGGGTCCTCAGTGGGGTGGGGTGCTGGGCAGGGGCTCCCTGCTCAGGACATTCCCTGCTATCCCGTGTCCTCCTTTGTGGCAGCAGCTCTCAAACTGGTGCAGATACCAGCGGGTGCCAGACACATCCAGATCGAGACGCTGGAAAAGGCCCCCCACCGCATTGGTGAGTGTGGGTGCCCTGAGGTTCGGGATCCTGGGACAGCCCAGGGCAGGGTTCCAGTGCAGGTAGAGTTCCACGGGCTTGAATCATGGAGAGAGGACCCTTCTTATTTCTAAATTTGTGCTGAATGGTGATTCTCATTTCAGGAGGTCTAAAAGAAGATCTAGTGAACAGCCCCCCATCTCTGTCCCTCAGGGGCAGTTTCTTCCCCTAGGCAACCACTGCTCAGATTTCCCATGCACATAGATGGCTTTTAAAGGAAAGTCATTGTCACAGAGTGCGTGGGTCAGTTGTTGCTACATGACTTACCACCACAGCATGTAAGGTCTTGGAATAATTGCTAGTTCTATGAGCTCCCTGTGTGGACCCATACAGATGTTGTCAGCTGGTGGGTCTGTTGGGAGCTGGCTGGCCTAGTACGCATGGGGTTAGTACTGGCTGTCAGCTCAGGTCATTAGGGTGGCACAGCCATGTTTCCAACAGGCTAACCAGGGGATATTCACCTGGTGTCTGTCATGTGGTCCTCAGTAATAGCACAAGAGTACAAGCACTTTTCAAATCTTTGCTTGCATTCATTTCTAATGTTACTTTGGCCCACATCACATGGGCACGCCACTGTGGGAGGATGAAGCTGGAAGATTCCAAGTTCAAGCCCAGCCTGGGCAACTTAGCAAGACTCTGTCTGAAGAGAAAAAAAAAAAAAAATGACTGGGGTTGTAGCCACACACAGACACACACACACACCCTTGTAGAACTCCAATCCCGTGATGGAAGAAATGGTCAAGCCATGAAAGGGAGCATTGCCACATTGCAGTTAGGAATGGGAGGAATTGAGGACCATTTCTGCAGTCCACCACATGTGTTCTTCAATTATTCCCATTTTAATGCTACTTAAACTCAGAGTCACTAATCCAGGTATCTACTCTGTATGCTACAGGTCCAAGACAGGTTAAAAATTAGAACCCCAAAATGAATTAAACAAAAAATTCCAGTTACAAGAATATTAACATGATGTGAGAGATGTTTTTATTGTTTTGTTTTTGCTGAAAGCAAATTGGAGGAAGAGGCAAAGCCAGAGACATAAAATAGATTCACGGGTGCCAGGAGTTATGGGGAGGAGATGGGGTGACAGCTAATGGGTATTGGGTTTCCTTCGGGGTGATGAAAATGTTCTAGAATTGCATAGTGATGATGGCTGAATGTACTAAAACATCACTGAATTGCACACTTTAATAGGGTGAATTGTATGTGGTGGATTTTATCTCAATTACAAACCCTTCAGCATGGTGTGGAACAGGGCCTGGTGGGCTGTGGGCAGCGGGCTGCTTCTGCAGTAGCTGGGATCTCCCATGGGGATCTGTGTTCAGATCCCTTCCAGAAGGCATGTGGGCTGTGCTGTCACCTTGGCATGGTCCCCACTAACCTATTATGCCCACCGAGTCACACTGCCGTGGCACCTGCTCCATCATAAACACTAACACGAAGCATGACATGTCTTGGGAAGCTCAAATATAAAAATGCTGACAGTTGTATTTTAGATCATTATCAATAAGCCTCCTGGAGAATGTGCCTTGCCTGGATAAGACGTCCGCATTGTTGTCTCTCCTTAGCACAACTTGATTGGTTCCTAACCTGCTCTGGAGGCAGTGGGAAGGACATGGTACACACAGGCAATAGGCACAGGTGGAAACCGAGGCCTGCCATGAATTTAGGCCCTCTTGTGCTCTAATTCACCCTTGCGGGCTAGGGGCAGAGCTGGCGTGGGACTCTTGTGTCCCATCCTGGCCCTCTGCTACAGTGAGCATGAGTTTGTAAGACATTGGTTCAGATAATTCCTGCCCACTGTGCCTGCCAGGTTGTGGGGGGCTGTGCTGAAATTGGTGTGGGAGGGAGGGGGATTACTCTGACGCTGATTTTGCTGCCTCCCTGGGATGATGATTCTTGAGTGTTAGCAGCCAGCCCCTTCCACCTGCTCTGCCTACAGAAGTTTGGTTCCTTGGCCCCCATAGATGGGGAACATTCCTTGGGTGCCAAGAGCTGCTTCCTATGGAGAAGTAAAAGGCTGTCTGGAGAGGGGCAGGTGGAGTGGGAGCGTGTGGGGAATCTACAGGCACAGGAGCAGAGGTGACTGCGAGCTGGAAGCTGGAGTTGCCCAGGGTTGTGTGAGGTACATGGTGGGCCCTCTGCACATGTGTGAAGTGTGAGAGTGTGTGTGTGTGTGTGTGTGTGTGTGTGTGTGTGTGATGCATGCCTGGGTGTGTGTGTCTACTGGGGTATGTGCTCTTTGCAGAAGCCCAGGGTGGTGGCAGCCTTGGCAGTGAAGGCCATAGCCCTGCCCAAACTGAAACCACACTTTATCCATGATCTCATTTAAGCCTCACGATGATCTATGAGGGATACCGTCATCCCATTTTATGGTTGGGAAAACTGAGGCAGCCTGGGGGCCTAAGTCACTCCGCATGGTGTCTGTGACTCTAGAGCCTGAACTTGTCACCTCTACGCCTTGCTACAGAAGCTCCAGGGAGGGCAGCATCCCTGAGGGTGGGGCAATCAAAGCAGGCTTCTTGGAGGAGGAGATTACGTTGAGCTGTAACTATTTGGAGCATAGTCAGGAAGAAGGGAGGCAGTGAGTGTGGGAGCAGTGGTGGACACCACCTCTGGGGTCCAGAGGCAGGACAAGTGTGTGCAGGAGGCATTGTGTGGACCTGTGCAGTGGAAGGATTCAGGTGGGAGGGGTGGCAGGCAGACAGGGGAGCCTCAAAGGGCCTGCTGGGAAGGTCTTTGTTGTCATATTCACCAGTCCCTTTAGGAGGAAGTAGAAATCTGTGTGCCCCTCTCCCCCGGCCAGCGGTGAAGAACCAGGTGACCGGCAGCTTCATCCTCAACCCCAAGGGCAAGGAAGCCTTGAGCCGGACATTCACTGCGCTGGGCCTGGAGTGGGAGCATGAGGTGAAAGATGCCAAGGACAGCCTCAAGACCAGTGGGCCCCTGCCCGAAGCCATTGCTGTCCTGGTGAGCCCCATTCCCGGCAGTGGACCATGCTTGCCCCTTGTCCTGTGCTGTCTGCTGCCTGCACAGCCTGGTAGAAGCTGCCAGTTCCCATGCCTGCAGGAGGCCAAGGCACCGACTCTTGCGCAGCTCCTCATTTGTGCTTAAAAGCTGGCAGCATGCCAGGTGAGGAGGGCAGAGGCTGTCCCCTCTGCTAGACCCTGGGAGGCCACATGCAGGAAGTCTGTTCTTCACCCAGGGTCGGAAATGGGGCCTGGGGCAGGCATCAGGCAGGGCTCAGGGTGGTTGCCCCAGGTCATCAGGCATCCTTCAGCATCAGGATGCATTGTGGCATGAGTGAGTCCTAAAGTGGCTTTCTCAAGCCTTTAAGGCAGCTGCTCTGGGGGTGCCATCTGGCAGTACCAACCTTCTAAGAAGGAGACAGAGCCATTGTCCTGGCTAGGGCCCATCTCTGCCCAGGTCCCCTTCCTCAGCCTGGGCCAGGGCTCATGGAGCCAGGATGGTTAAGCAAGCAGACCAGCTCGTGAGAACTCTGTCCACATGCCCTCAGATTTGGTTAGCACCATGGAGACCTTGGACAGGGTTTGTTCTTAGTGTTGCCCTCCCCAATCAGGGAGGTCCTAGAGGGTGGGGTCTGTGGCTATTGTGTCACCATTTTAATTCCATCCAACATTTATTTTCTATTCATTTTATATTTATTGACCACCTATATATCTGGGAGCAGCTGATTTTCAACGAGGGTACCAAGGTCTTTCAAGGGAAATGAAGAGTCTCAACAAATGGTGCTGAGGCAACTGGATATTCACACGCAAAAGAATGAAGCTAGATCTCTACCTCATACCTAACACAAATATTAACTCAAGGCAAATCGAAGCCCTAAATATAAGAGCTGAAACCATAGAACTGTTAGAAGAAAACAGAGGGGTAAATCTTTATGACTTAGATTCTTAGATATACTACCAAAAGCATAAGCAACAAAAGAAGAAATTGATAAATTAGATTTCACCAAAATGGAAAATGTACGCCAAAACATGCTCTTAAGAAGTCGGAAGACCACAGGGTGGGAGAAAATGTTTGCAGATCATGTATCTGACAAGGGTCTGGCATCCATGCTGTGCTTCTTGACATCTTTCAAAGTCAGGGAGTGAGAAAAAGACCCAAGGACATGCATGGGTCCTGCCCTCGTTAGGACATAGGTGTATGGGAGGGAAAAGCATTCACAGGCCTGGTACTGACCAGCTGCTCTCAGGCCTGGCATATAGCAGGTACTTAGTTTGGGCAGCAGGAGTTTGTCATATGGCTGCCACCTCCCATCGTAGCCATACTTGGCACTGTCCCCATCCCTGTCCTTAACCCACATCCTTCTCTTTGGCCCCATCCCTGCCCTGCTGCTCTTTCTGGTCCTGTGCCACCTGCTCCCCGTCTGCCCTCAGGTGCTCCCCCCAGCTGAGGGTAGCCCCCGAGGTAGCCTGGCCTACAAGTACGTCATTCACGAGGACCTGCTGCCCCTCATCGGGAGCAACAACGTGCTCCTGGAGGAGACAGACACCTACGAGTGGGCACTCAAGAGCTGGGCCCCCTGCACCAAGGCCTGCGGAGGAGGTGCCGGCTCTCCTAACCCCCAGTCCCCAGTGGGGCAGCAGGGTCTCTGGGGAGGAGAGGACCCAGGAGGGGTGGGAGCCTGGCATTGTCTCCTTTTGACATGGCCCTTCTCATGCCTCTGTTTCCCCTGGAAGATCTGTGTGTGGACAGGGGCTAGGGATGGGCTGGGGTGCCCTGGGCAGGGTCTCTACCTATGAGAGCTGGCCCACTGGGAACAGGCAGCCATCCAAAGCCACTGCCTGCCAGTGCTGCACCAGGGAGCAGGAGACAGTCCTGATCAAGGCAGGCAGAAAGTGCCTTGGGCTTGAGGGGGCGCAAAGGCACCAGGGAGGTGGGATTGCCCCCCAGGCTCTCCAGAAGGTCCCCTGCCTGCAGACCTGGACAGGCCAGAGGAGGACCCAGAAAGGACCCACAGCAGCCTACCTTTCACAGGTATCCAGTTCACTAAGTACGGCTGCCGGCGCAGACGGGACCACCACATGGTGCAGCAGCACCTGTGTGACCCCCGGAAGAGGCCCAAGCCTATCCGCCGACGCTGCAACCAGCACCCGTGCCCCCAGCCTGGGTGAGCGCTCTGGAGCTTGGCCCCTGCTTCTCACTGTCCTGACCCAGGAGGAGGGGCTGCTCACCTTCCCAGAGTCACAGCCCAGCAGCCAGGCTTCGGTAGCAGAAAGCAGCCCATGCCAGAGGCTCTGCCTCGGGCAGCACCCACTCTCCAAGCGCAGCCTCGCCCTCTGGGGTTTCTGGGTCACTAATTTCCACTCCTAGAAGAAGGAAGAATCTCCCAGGCAGGAAGCTCAGATATACACAGTGGATTCTGTGCTTGCTGACGCCAGTCCCCAGACCAGGATGCTGTCCACCAAGGACACTTGGCCTGCCAGCCCCCAGCGTCATCTATCCCACACTCGGGATTCCCCAGCCTGAGGATCCAGGCTCTTCTGAGCACAGGGTCATGTTCTGGGGGTCATTTGGAGGGACTTTCAGGGAGCGGTGAGAGCGCTGCCTTGCGATGGACACTAGGTCAGAGCCGGAGTGGACATATAATCCAGAGTCAGGGTGGGAGCTGGTGGCCAGCATGAGTGTGCTGTGGCCATGCTATGCCCAGCCCAGGCTGTGGTATCCAGCCCGTCCTGTACCCACCCTCTGTGCTGTCCCTTCACCCTGCCATTCAGACTAACCCCACAGACGTGACCACAGAGCCTGCGTGCGGGCTAACCACCTGAGATCCTGGTGGTTTGGGAATTTTCTTTGTTTTTTAAAGGAACAGGTTGGCTTGGAAAAAGGGCCTGGAAGAGCCCGTTTACTAAAAGGTCTCAGAAAACTGAGAAAGAGCAGGACTTGGCTTGGCAGTTTAGTACCCCTTGGCTTGGGCTACTAAAATGCTTGCAGATGACCCTTGGAGCTGGTGGGTAATGAGGCTGGGGTGGGGGGTGAAGATGGTGTCCCTCTTGTCCCTATAGGAGCGGGTTATCTGGGAAAGTGTGGCTTTGGTTTGTTTTGTGCGCTGCCAAGTCTCAGTGCCCAGGACAGTCCCAGCACGTGGGAGGCATTCAGATACCTAAGGGATGTTGAAACCTGATCCAAAGAGGGGTCACCGAGCCTTAGTGGGGCTAATAGCTTGCACAAGAACACGTAGGTGCCAGGCTTCGGTATACTATCCCGCCTCTCTTGAAGCAGCAGGAGAGAACTAACCTTGCTGAGGTCACACAGCCAGGTCGCTGCAGAGCCAGGTGGACAATTGTCTGGGTCCTGTGCATTCTGATGCCAAATGGACTCTCCAGCTCTCATCTGTGTCTCTCCAGGGGTGGGAGGTGGCACCTGGGAGGAAGTGTCCTTTTGGTCTACTTCCCCTCTAACTTACGTCCTGTCTGTCTTCAGGTGGGTGACAGCGGAATGGGCTGCCTGCAGCCGGAGCTGCGGGAAGCTGGGGGTGCAGACTCGGGGTGTACAGTGCCTGCTGCCCCTCTCCAATGGCACTCGTAAGGCCTTGCCAGCCAAGGCCTGTCCCGGTGCCCGGCCTGAGGCCCGGAGGCCCTGCCTCCGCATTCCCTGCCCAGCCCAGTGGCGGATGGGAGCCTGGTCCCAGGTGAGTCGTCTTCAGCATGCCAGAGGCACTCAGGAAAGAGGCAGGTCTGGGTGGAGTAAGGTTCAAAGGGATTTCCTGGTGCTCTGTGCAGGCAGAGAGATTCTGTCCAAGCCTTCCCACATCTGATCTGGGGTGTCCTCAGAACAACATGGTATTACTCCCATATACACTGTTCGTGGCTCTGTGCTAGGCCATTCACATCTGCTGTAAGCTCACAGGGCACCAAGAGCCACAGGAAACAGCCCTGCATCCCACAGGAGCAAACTAAAGCACATCCTTACCTTCTAGAAATGCTTACATGCCAGGCATTGTACAAAGCATGACAGGAACCCAGCATCAACCAGGACATGGTTCCACCTGAAGCTTACAGTCCTGTGAAGGAGACATAATAAACACATAAACCAGTGACAAAAATAGCATTCACAGATCGGCCAGCTGGAGCTGTGCAGGGCTGCAGGAATGTGACCAAAGACCAAGGGTAGTCAGGGAGGGCCTGCTTTAAATAGTACATAATAGAGTAATTTTAAAGAACCAAAAGTCCCCACTTGAGGCTGGGGGCTGTACGTTGCTCAGTGGTAAAGCACTTGCCCAGCATGTATGAGGCCCCAGGTTCTATCCCCAGCATACACGAGTGAATGAATGAATAAATAACAAAATATCTGTACTCAACTGAGGTCTCACATTCTCCTCCATAACTTACCACTTCATTTGTTTTGATACAAAACAGAAAGATTGCTGGTCCGTGAAGGTGCCAGAGATAAACTAACAGAGATGAGGAAGTGGAAGACAGAGTCCCTGTGAGGCTGGCCAGTGCTCCAGAGTTGGGGGCTGGTCTTTGTGGGACTTTGGTCTGTCATTTGTCCCAGGAGGATGAGTCATGGTTGTCCCATGGTGGCCCCTTGATCTTGATGTTTCACTCAGGGGTCACATGCCCCAGTATGCAAGCTCTTTCCTGTCTACTGAGAGAGGCTGTGGTCAGTGCCTAGAAAGCGACCCAGTCACATTGGGCAAGCTTGCCTTCCTAGGGTCCTTGTCCTGCCACCTGGGACCCTCCCGCCAACCCACTTAGCAGAGTAGGAAGTGTGTCAGGTGCAGGGGACAGGGTGTGTAGCGGCCCTTGCACCTACAGTCTGTCTTCTGCCCTATGCCTTTCCCCTCTGAGGAAGAAGACACTGTAAACATGTCTCTGTGAGCCAGTGTTGGGTAAATCGAGTCATGAGGTCATTGACTGTCAGAGATAGAAGGGTCCTTAGAGCTTCCGTCACTTAGGTCTCTTGGGTTATGGAATTGGGAACTGAGTCGGGGACAGCAGGTACCACAATCCAGCTACCTGCCCTCAACAAGGCTCAGCAAGTAGATTGTCCTGCCCTAGCTCACACCACATGATGGATCACAACAGGAGCTGTCGTGTGATACATGGGATATTTGAGAACCTGGGCACAGACCAGGCACAGTGACACAGGTGGGTGTAGCTGGAATGAAGTCCCCTCCCAAGCCAGGGGTTCACTGTTTAGGTTATGGAAGGGCCCATGGGGCCCTGAGCTTGGGTGGCAGCTCTACCTCTGGTTAAGGAGAATCTGAGGCCGGACATGGTGTTCTGCTGAGGCTATATTTAGAAGCAGTCCTTGCACATCGAGTGAAGACGTGGCTCCTGCCTCTGACCTTGGGCTCTGGCTGTACTCTGACCTCACTGGTCATCCTGTCTCTCCCCACACCACCCTGGTCCCCATTCTCCACAACAGTGCTCTGCCACCTGTGGAGCAGGCGTCCAGCAGCGGCAGGTGGTGTGCAGGACCACCGCCAACAGCCTCAGGCAGTGTGAGGGGGACAAGCCAGACACCTCGCAGGTCTGCAGCCTGCCCGCCTGTGAAGGTGAGCTGGGGATGGGGAGGCCTGGCGCAGCTCCTCTGGCCTTGAACTTGCACCCAGCCCTTGCGTCTAGGCCCACAGAAATCCCAAATACAGGTTGAATACCCCTAAATCCAAACATCTGGAATCCAAGATCTAAAGCTTTTTGAGGGCTGGAATGATGCTGCAAGTTGAAAATTGCATACCTGACCTCATAGGAACAGGTCCAGGTCAAAACACAGATGCAGAGCACACAATTTAGTCAGCATCCCCAAGGGAAAAGGACTCTTCCTTCCGCTGTGATACTCAAGCTCTGTTTCATTCTCAAAATTATTAAAATTTAAAATGGATAATTATAATAGCTCTAAGTAGTATAGTTCATAATTTCAAATTTTAAAACAAATTCAACAATTATTGATGTCTATTATAATAATGATTTGAAATATTTGTATACAGTTATATTCATGCTATATATATAAGAAACAAATGAATTTCATGTTTAGACTTGGGTCCTGTCCTTTTATCTTATTACATATATAAAAATACTCTAAAATGTGAAGAAAAATCCAAACTACAAAATGTTTCTGGTCCTGAGCATATTGGATTACAGGTGCTGCCAGTACTGAGGCTGCTTCTCCTTACTCTAGGAAATCTCCAGAACTCCACAGCAACGGCAGAGATCCAGGAGCTCGTGACCCTAGAGGGACAGCAAGTGTCAGAGTCCGGGACTTTGCCTCCCATGAACAAGAGATCACCAAGTAAGTGCAGCCCCTGGACCCCTCTCTGTCCCTGAACCTTTTGGGGGGTCCCAAATACTACTGTGTAGCGAGTGGAACAGACCCGGCGTGCAGTCTGAGTCTGTAGCTGGGAAGTGAGGATGCTGCTGTACTGCTCCATGACTTCTCAGCTCTGCTAACAGCAACACAATAGGAGGAGCAGTTTCCCTCTGTCTTGTGACTAGAAGCTGGTCAGTTCATCCCCCTCTCCATTCATTCATTCACAAATGAAAATTTGCCGAACACCTGTTATACAGCAAGCTATGTGGTCCACCCTCCTTTCCTAGGTTCTTTCTTTCTTTCTCTTTCTCACCCTGCCAAGAACCAGGGTCTGACAAGATGAATAACAGAAAGATTAGACTCCAACTCCTCCTTAGAAAACTAGGTGTGGCTGTGTGACTTTGTGCAAATCCCTCAACCTCTGCTTCTTTGCTCCTTGGGCTGAAGCTCAGGCAGCTCCTTTTCCTGGATTTTCTTCCTTCTTTTCCTCCTAAAAGCAAATGCTGGGGTCCTGATTCTGGTCCTGGACTTTTGATGCCACCTAGAGGTCACTGGGTTTGCATTTTCTCTGATGTTTCCCTATGCTCCCTGCCCCCAGTTGTCTTTGGCCAAACTAGAAGAAAGCCACGTTTCTTGCCTTGGCATTCTGCCTAGAGGGCCCTGGCTGCATTAATCACAGAAACGTGTTCAGATGCTGCTTAAAGCAAAGAAAACTAGTATCATGAGCACCCTTCTATTCTGGCCACTTTATAAGTGTCATTTATAATTGTAATGTTATCTTCCATTACTTATTTTAAAAAACAAAGAAACTGAGGCTTGGAGAATTTGGGGGACTTATTGAAAGAAATCGAGCTGAAGCAGGAGCACCCGAGGCAGGGATTTATTGGGGGAGAGCTGCTGGGCTGTCTCACACAATGGCAAGAGAGAGCATGAGGTTGGTGAGGTAGAGCTTATATAGGATTTTGTAGTTGGGAGAGCATTGTGGAGGGGCAGTGATTGGTCATATCGTTGGGGTGGGTAACGGAGTTTAAACTTATTGGCAGATGAGTTCAGTTCCACTTTCCTGGAGAGGAAATGACCCGCTTACGAGAGGGGGGTGCCATTTTGAGTAACAGACCTCCCTGTGGCCATTTTGTCTAACACTTATCCAAGGCCTCACAGTGTTTCTGATATAGGGGGAAGAGATGTAACTCCCAAACCTGCTAGGTATGAGAAATGTGAGTTTGTGTTCTCTAAAATTGAAGAATGAATTCTAGAAACAATGGAGTAACATTAAGAGTAGGAAAAATTTATTGAGAAAAAGGTAGCTTCTTGTCTAAGACAGAAGGGGGACTGGAAAATGGATTGCCCACTCACCCAACTTCTCAAAGGTGTTTTATGGGACAAAACCATGAGGTGAGGCGGGTTCAAAATGGGACAAAACTGTCATCAACTAGTAAGATTACAAGCACAGTCGCTTAGGTAACATTGATCCAATGACAAATCACAAGGTTGACAAAACTATTAACAACCAATAAGATTATGACAAGTATAGTCGATTAGGTAATATTGATTAAATGGGGATCCAATGGGGAAACAAGTCACTTAGTAAGAGTGTAAGGAATGAGCAAGGATTTTCTGTGGAAAGGGTTGGGTCAGGGATCTTTCTTGGAAGATCTTTGTCCCCCACCCAGGTGATTGATACCTATTTAGAATATCAATCACTGCTATTCATCCTACATGGCTGTGGTAGTTTCTCTCCTTTTACAATTCTAACCTTCAGTGAATGTGTCTTGATTGTCTTCCATGTTGGCTCCTTCCTTGACTGTCCTCCATGTTGGCCCCTTGTGGGCTGGCCCTAACTGCCTACAAGATATCTAATTAACTTACCTATCTACAATATTTTAACCTAAACTTAAATCTCAATTTACTTGCTTGCAAAGTTAGTGGTGGAGGGCTTAGTGATCCAGATTGTACTCATTGCTGGCAAGACATTGATCTGCTTGTTAACCTGGGTGTGAGCTCCCTGGGCATTGGCCTGACTGCGGCTGGAGGGGTTAGACCCTTTGGGTTGATTGGGGGGGTAAGGGTTCCTGTTTCCATCCAGAACAGGGTCCTTGCATTTGGCTGCAGGGTAGACTCACTGGGGCAGAGGCAGGCACGGCCTGTGCTGAAGCTGCCAGGTAATTCTGGAGCAGCCAAGTCTGTGGATGAATCACACAGGGCCCCAGTTCTGGGGTTTTCCCGCATATTGGATCCCCTGGTGCAGTAGGTCTGGATCGTTTGTGAGCGGGGATCCCACTGAGATCTGCTTCTCCGGGGGCTCAGTTACTCTTCCATATAGAAGGGCTCATTCTCTGCCAGGTGGCCCAGGGACCTCCTGGGCTAAGCAGAGTAGTGAATACAGCAGGGTTGGGGATGAAGGGTGGGCGATTGGGGGGTGAGTGGGAGGTGGGATGCCTGTCACCTGGCCGGTGGGCATTCCCTGGCACGTCCTTGTGCTGTATGTGCAGCGGAGCCCTGCGTGGGGGACAGGTCCATCTTCTGCCAGATGGAAGTGCTTGATCTCCACTGTGCCATCCCTGGCTACCATCGGCTGTGTTGTGAGTCCTGCTCCAAAAAGGCCTCAGGCCCCAACGCCAGCCTGTCCTCCACACCCACCTTCCCTACTCCTGGGAGCCACTTAGCACAACCCAAGGCCACTCCCAACATCATGGAGCCTACCATGGAGCCAGAAGGAGCAGATGACCACCAGCATGGCCGACCCACCCAGCTCCCAGGGCCACCAGACACGAGGTCCTCAGTCCCCCAGCCCTACTTGGTCCCACAGACCCTGAGCCCCAGAGTATTTGGGGGTACTTCCCCTGCCACCCCTCAGGCACCACCTTGGGGCTGGACCCCAGCAGCTGTGACAGCCTCTGAGGACCAAGGGCGGCCCAGAGAGGAATCGAGGCATCGGGGACCAGCCTTCCCACCACCTCCCTAGTGACATGAGCCATGCCATGCCATCCTGTCAGTCAAGTTTACACTCCGTGTGCTGCCCCAGCGACCCCAGCTCAGAGGATTCATGGAGCAGGGCAGGGGCAAGCGCAGACTTCCTTTTAAATTATTTGCCTTCTTGTTCCTATTTGGGGCTGTGACGCTCTTTCCCCCGTGACAGAGGGTGGGAGGAAGAAGATCAGGGAAAGCCCGAACCAGAGATACCTCAGCCAGCAGTCCCCAGACTGGACCTCTCAGGGGCTCCTGGGGCCTCTCAGGGCCGAGGGTCTGCCAGCACCCTTCCCCAGAGCCAGCAGGCCCCAGGCAGATCTGAAGCTCATGCTGGGAGCTGTCAGGGATGCCTACTTTCCCAGGACTTGTGAGGACCCCTGTGCAGGCCCCAGAATGGCAAAGCAGGCAGAGGGAGGTAGGGGCTGCTCACAGGGCAGGCTGGGGAAGGACCTGGAACGAACATGGTGGCCAGCTTCCCTGAAGTACGGTGAGCACAGAGGGCAAACAAGTTTACCTCAGGCCCAGCTGTCCTCAGCTGAAAGCCCCATGCAGCTCCACAAGCTGAGGCTGGGGGCAGAGGCCAGTTCACCTCTGCTGGCTGGAGTGAAGTGTTCATGTCCACACTCTGCCACACTGTGGATCCACTCTGTGGATGTCACTTCTGTTATTTCTGGTGATTCCAGTTGTACGCCCAGCCCACAGAGAAGGGGTCCCAGGGTATGCTTGTCCCCAAGTCCTCATCATCAGGGGTTTCCATACTGGTGCTGGACCCCTGGCTGGAACAGAAATTAGCCCTGCAGGGCTAGGAGTAGGCCAGCCTGGTGGGACACACAAGACATGACTTCTCAGACTCTGCCCTTCAGCCATTGCCCTCTGCCAAAGTCTACTCCTACTGGAGTCAGGGGTCCTCTCCTGCTTGGCTTGAGCCAGGCTAGGGTTGTGTGGTGCTCTGAGGGGTGGCTCTGGGGACCAGAGAGTCCGCTCAGCCAATGCCCAGGGGATGACAAAGGTGACAGCCCGGCCTCAGCCCCCAAGCTGGGGTGAGGAGAGCACACTGACCCGTGGTGCTGCAGGGCCTCAGACAGGCCAGCCACTCTCTCTGCTACCTCCAGGGGGCCAGGTAATGGCCCTAGGCCCTCTGGCCCTTGGGAAGTAGCCCAGGCCTTCAGCCTTCCAAGGGTCCTCAATCCTAGGGTCTGCAGGAATCTCTGAGCTCTCAACAGATTACCCAGGCTCATAGAGGTGCTTGTCAGACTCCCTTCTCAGATAGGAGGAAGAGGAGCAATGGGTCCTGACCTTGTAGCCTCCTTGGGGAATTGGAGTCCTGAGGCCCCAGGTGTTCTCCCAGGGCTGCCCTTCCCTCTGTAGGTTGCTGGAGCACACACCAAATCATTCCTGAGAACCAGCCTGGCCTGGGCCAAGGAGTGTGAACCCTATGCCTTGGAGACTTAGCTCTCTTAATGTTATATATTTATTAACATTGCCCTTGGTGCTTTGTTTTGGACCCCAAAAAGCATTGCTGTGTGTTTTTTCTTTTTTTCTCTCTGTTTTGGGGCAAGGGGACAATGGAGCCAGAGCTGTAAGGGGCTGGGGTGGGTTGTAGCAAGACAATGAGGGGTGGGATGGCAGGGGGGGACCACCAAGGAGCTGGGTGGCCTTGCAGGTCACCACCCAAAGGGTGGAGATGGCTGGGAGGTAGTTCTGGGATCCACAGCGACAAAAGTGTTCAAGTACTCAGAGCTTTCCAAACCTCCCTTTGGGAGCTACCCTTCTGTAAGCAGCTGCCATCAGGCCTAGGGGTGCTCATGAGGTGACCCAGGCATACGTCAGGGGAGCTGAGCCAGGGAGATGCTAGCGCAGGCCTCCGAAGCAGTCTCAGGATGGTTTAGGCAGGAATTCTGTGGCCTCAGAGCCCAGAGTGTGGCCTACAGAGGAGGGTTGTGTGCCCTGTGCAGAGACTTCCTCTTGGCCTGGTGCAGTCCCTGCTATGGAGATTGATCGTATGGGCAGAGTGAGGCCCTCTAAGAGCCCTGGTAGCCCTGCTCTAACAGCGATCCTGGCGCACTGCCTGGTACAGCAGTAACACATGCAAAAACATGCCCACATGTCCCTATCTTGTGCCTGTGACAGACATTGCCAATTTATCACTGCACCATTCCCCTCTGAGCCCAGATTCACCCCAAGAATCCTCCACATAGTGCTCTGGGCAGTGGACACAGACAATTGCCATTGTCAGGACACGGAGCAGGAATGTTGGGTCAATAATTTAAATTTACGGCACTGGAAATCTTCCCCCATTCAGCATCTCAGGCAGAAGCATAGCACCTAGAAGCAGAATCACAGCACCTGAATCGAGGAGGAGGGACCCAGAAACCAACCCCTGGATCCTCCACAGGGCCCCGGTGTGGGGTGAGCTGTCTCCAGGGAGCCTTCAGGTGATCGCATTCTGAGGGGCCGATGCCCATCTGCTCACCTGGAAACAGGGACTTGCCTGGGTGACTTCTGAAAACAGAGAATGTGTGCTTTCTGACCATGAGGGGCCTCCTAGGAGTTATGTGGGTCACTGGGTTCTTCCTGAACCAGTCAGCTTGGAGGACAAGGGAGCTGTTCCCTATGCACACCAGTGAGCTTTGCCAGACCCCCAGCCCTCAGCCTGGGGTCCCGCTTCCAGCTTCACTGTGGCCTGCCCATCCCTGCAGGTCTACAGCTGTCCAGGCTTGGCTTGGGCCATGGGACTCTGAACACAGGTCACCTGCCTCTGTTTAGGGTACAGAACGCTACAGGAGAGCATCACAGGGGCTAGGATGTGGCTCAGTGGTAGACCACTTGCCTAACATATATGAGGCCCTGGGTTCGATCCCCATCACTGGAGAAAGGAAGAGATTCACTCTACCATAACAAGAAGTAAAACAAGGAAAGCAAGTGAATTAATTTCCAAAAGGTGACATGCCTCTCTGGACACAGGACACACATAGTGTCGGTCCCACCTTTGGTGAGACATGGGTAGAAGTGACCACCATAAGAGCAGGTAAGAAAGTACAAGTGAAATGTTAATAGATGTTTGTAGGTGAGTGTGAACTTTAGAATCACTGGCAGCCCTGTGCATGAGGGGAGTTTAAAAAAACAGACCCATTTACAGTAGCATCAAGAACACCAAATACTATACACTGAAATCTATAAAGTATTGTGGAGAAAAACTTAAGAATACCTATGTAAAGTAGCCCATGGCTCTAAATCAAAAACCTCAGTATTGCTAAGACATCTGTCCTCCTCCAGTGTGATCATACATTGGATGAGATCCGCTTACCTTCTTGTCCGGGGAGCCTGGCAAGTCCTCACCATGGCTGTCCTCCATGTGGAGGCCAGGAGACTCTTTCCTCCAGGGGCCAGCTCAGCCTCCACCTGCTCCTGAGAAGCAGTCCAGCCCTCACGGGGCAGCCTGGCCTCTGGCCTCATTCTTCTTGCAAACCCCCTAGTAATGGACCTCCAGGCCTTCCTTGCGACATACACAGGAGGCAGGGGAGGGGTTAGGCACGAGGCCTGGGTCGTCTGACCTGGAGCTGTGTGGGTACTTCCCGCAGAGTCCCTCCTCCCTGCCTGTGTTCAGGTGCCTGGGCTTGGGGCCAAGAGTGTGTGTGTTGGGGGCTGCGATGGGGAAGAGAAATGGCAGGTAAGAGTGTGACTGGATGGTGCCCAGGGACGCACCTGCCACTGACTAGAAGTCTCTATGGCCTACCCCGAAATCCTCTCTCTATTTTGAAACTTTATGCATGAACTACATGTTCATTACTGACAAAATTTAAAATCTGATGAGAAATTGAATCCATCTTTCTACCAAGCAGTAACCCCCACTAACAATTTTATAATCCTTCTACGTGTGTGCATGTATGTAAATATACCTACCACACACACACACATGGAGGCCATTGCAATGCCTGCCATTAGCATCTTGGTCTCCCCACACCACTACCCTGCAGTAGGCCTTACTTGGGTCGTTTCTCAGCTTTGGTGTCATAAATAGTGATGTAAGAAAAACCCTTGACACTTACCTGGTTTATCCTAGAAAACATTCCCAGAAGTGCGCTAGGGTGCAAAATGTACCCAAACCACATCTCGAAGTCACTTGAGGCACATTTCCCAATTGCTTCCAAAAAGGTTGTTCAGATTGTAGTCTCTCCAGTGATGTAATAATATTGGACCCTAAATATTATAAAGTCTGATTCTTATCTTCCCTCAAAACACCTACAGAAGGGCTGAGGATTTAGCTCAGTGGTTTTGCCGCCTGCTGTGCAAGTGCAAGGACCCAAGTTCATCCCCGGTACCAAAAAACCCCCCAAAAGACACCTACAGACGAAGTCTTGGGCATCCAGACAGGTGACACTTCCACAACCTTGCGTATTTGCAGTGTACATGGCAAGAATTGGCATTCATGATGATATCCCCAAGAGCCTGGGACAGTCCCGAGGGCCTCTGAATCACTGATGTCATCCGAGCATCACACCAAGTAGTCAGCAGGCTGCACAGGCAGAGCAGTGGGCCAGGGGGTGCCGGAGACCCAGGCATGGGCCATCCTTGCCTGAGAGTCGGGCCACTGCCTCACTCTTCTGCAAGATAGAGAAAACTGCTCTGGCCTGATATTTTCCTAGGAAGTCTACCTTCCTGGCAACCCTTTATACTGGGGATGGGGACATTTACTGTCATTGCCATTCTCCATATGATCTTCCACCATGTCTGTCCTCCTTCCCCTCCGCCAAGGAACAGCAGAGCTGGCCACTGGCCAAAACTAAGTGGTCAGCGGGCAATTTCTGCAGTGGTTCGAATTGGATCCCTACTGCTAATGTCCTGTGACTTGCAGTGCAATTAAAAAAAAAAAAAAGCTTTATACAAGAACTCCCCTTGCTCTGTGACTGGGAACAAAATGCTTCTGAGCTCTCCAGGGCTGAGCTGCTTCCATAAAATGAGAGATTGAGCTACAAGCTCAATGGGCAATGGTTCCAGGCAAGAAAAGGGGAAAGCAGCTCTCGCTGTCCCAGGGCTTGGAGGCTGTTGCTGCGTGGGTGCAGAATAATGAGGTCTCTGGAGAGCTGAGAATGCTGCATAAAGGGGCTGTGTACAGGGCAGGGGTCCTGACTCAAGGCAAACCTTGTAAACAAGTGGAGACAATGGTGCCTGAGAACAAATGCCATAAGGAATGAGGATCTGGTGTTTCCATGGCTTCAAGAGAAAACTCAAATACACATTTTTAAATGTTCACAAAAAATAGATAACCTACAGGTCGGATGAAACCCATCAATGGTCTGGGTTTGGCATATGGCCACAGTGTGCAGCCTCTGGCCTGCAGAAATGGGCACAGGAGCTGGCACAGCTGCTGTGGAGACAGAGCCTGCTGGGCGAGGCCCTCACAGATCCTCTAGGAATGAGCATTTATCCAGGGAGCCCCTCTGTCCCCCTTTCTGAGCCTTGGTTTCCAAGTGGGGGGCGCAGCCCCAGGTCAGGCCACATGAAAGGGTCAGGGTCTTGGAAGAAGAGCCCTGCCCTGTCTTGGCTAGAGCAGCTCCGAAGAGGCACTGCTAGCAGGTATGGAAAAAAGGGAGGCCAGGCGAGGGTCCTGGGCTGGGAAGCCAAGAGAACTGGGTTCTGGTAGTGTTATGGTTTAGATCTGGGATGTCCTCCAAAAGCCTCGTGTTCAGAGGATGGGCTTTTGAAGGTGATCGTATCATACATGGGGATGCTGTACTCATCGATGGATCCATTCACTAGTGAGTTCAGCAGCCCAGTGTGCTCTTAGGAGATGGGCCTCACTGGAGATGGGTCACTGAGGGCTCCTCCCTTCTTGCTCTGCTTCCTGATCCATGATACAAGCAGCTTTTCTCCACCCAGGCCCTTTTGCCATGCTGTTTCTGTATTTGAGCCTGCTAACCATGGAGTGAAACTTCTGAAACTGTGAGCTGAGATAAACCTCACCTCCTTTAAATTATGGGTGTTGGGTATTTTGTCTCATCAATCAGGAGAGTGACTAAGATGGGTGGTGTGCCTGAGGGGAGTCACATCCCTCTCTGTGCCTCAGTTTGCTGTGCTCACTAAGAGCAGGGTGGCCACTTACTGGCTATCGAACAAATTACCTGACCTCTCTCTGCCTCAATTTCCTTACCTGAAATAGTATAATAGTATTTAATCAGTAACTGTTAATCATTAATTGTTTTAAGGATTAAATAAGGTAATATGTGCAAAATGCTAAGCATGGTTTTAGGGGCATAGAAAGCATTTAACACATGAGTTTTATTTCTGGGAACCCCATGTGACTCCATGGTTTGAACTTGGAATCACAGACTACCCAACAATTAAGATGAGGCCTTAGGACTGGGGGTGCAGTTCAGTGGTAGAGTATTTGCCTAGTGCATGAGGTCTTGGGTCCATAGTACCATAGAAGGAGAAGGAGAAGGGGAAGAGGAAAGGGAAGGGAAAGAGAAAGAGGAAGAGGAAGGAGAAGAAGAGGTCTTAGTGAACTGAGCAATAGACTGATGCCTAAAGAAGGGGAACTTGCCCAGGGACAGACAGCTAGTTGGGGCCAGGGGCAGGTGCCACCCATGGCTGATCTCTCGCAGGCTTTTAGGAGTGGCCCTGAGAGGTACACACTAATCATTGCCCTTTCTTCCAAGTGCTGTCCATGGGCAGGGCTGGCCAACTGTCCACCTTCCTGCATGGGCAGCAAAATTGCCAAACACTATCATTTTGAGTGGTCCACCTCTATCTAGAAGAGGTGACTAGATCTGGAAGAGCTGCTGCTAAGCACTATTTTTGTTCCCTTCCTACTCGCAGGAAGAAAGACTGAGCAGTAATTACCCTTAGTTAATGGTCTCTGGAGGTGACAAAAGCTTAGTTGAGTGGGCAAAACAGAGCAGGACCATGTGGATGTCTTACTAACATCAGTGTCTAATCAGCCAGACACATTAGTGCTCAAGCCTGGGGTCTGATAACAGCTAAGTACTGACCTGGTGGAATGCCGCTGGGCAAGAGGGAGGAGGGAGTGAGTCTTCTAAGTCCCACCTTACCCTCTCTCCCCCACAGGAGGGCCCCAGGGGGCAGGATCTGTTCCGCTGTGGTGATTGTTTTGGAGGCAGATTGGGAAATGTGAGGATTACTAGGGCCTGGTGCTGCTAGGAGGCAAAGTGGCCATACACTTGGGTGCCCCTGGCATAACCTAAACTAGCAACAGTGGCTCTAGGGCTTCACTGGTAAGAAAGCAAAAAGGAGGAGATTGTGGCATTTTTATAGCTGCTGTGTGGCCTTAGGAAAAACAGTATGTCCTGTGAATCTTGCAGGTAGCATTGTCCCTGTCTGTCCCCCAGCCTGAGGAATAGCAGGGCAGATTTGTGTGTTTTCTGTCTGCAGGGTTGGTTTTCATGCGTTTGGTTCTGCTCAGGGCTTTTACTCTTTTACAACCGAGTCAGGAGCTACTAAAACACAATTACTCTTATGGCATCCTTGTTGCTATTTGTGTTTCATTTTGCACAATGAACTGACCTAGAGGAAATACAAGCAGCAAGGAACGGGCCACTTATGTGGACACTTGATCTCAGCCAGGAGCACCTGCTTCGTAATGTCACCTAGAGGCGGCACAATTTAGGCCAAGCTGGATGAAGACTCCAGGAATGAACATATTCTTTGTTCCCAAAAGCAGTACAGCTAAAGAAGGATGGCAAAGAGACATCTAAAACCCTCGTAGTTCCCTCCAGTGTGGTGGTGGTGGTGGTGGGGATGTGGATTTGGGAGGCCCAGGGAAGAGATGGGCACTGTGACAGTTGGTGCTGGTCTTGTGGTAGGAGCAAGGAGCATCTCAGATGGAGAGAGAAACGCTGCTGCTATGCACTTTATTTTTCCTTCCTGCTGGCAGGAAGAAAGTATATAAGCAATAACTATCTTATATAAATAATCTCTGGTGACAAACAAGACCTTAGCTAAATGGAATTCATGAGCTGCTCAGTTACACAGACACAAACAAAAACATAAGCCCCTCAGTCCAAAATGTCTGATGAGCTTTCCTGGTAGGGCTAGAAAAGTTCCAGCTGGAATGGAGTATATTTGTATGCAAAGTAGGAATTTTGTTTTTAAAAACTCACTGACACCTAAATAAACAGTTCTCCAAAGTGGATATGCAAATGACCAATAAAGCACAAGCTGTCACGATACTACGCCATACCCAGTAGGATGGCTACACTTCAAAAGGCAGATAATAAGGAGTGTTGGCAAGGGGTGGAGAAATCTAAGCCACATGCCTGGTGTTGGGAATTAAAGTGGTTCAGTCACCTTGGAAAATGGTCTGGCAGTTCCTCAAAGGATTAAATGTAGAGTTACCACATAATCTAGCCACTCACTCATTGGTAGAGACTCAAGAGGATTGAAAATATATGTCTATTCAAAAAACTTGTACACGAATGTTCCTAGCACCATTGTTAACAATAGCCAAAAGGTGGAAACAACCCCTATGCTCAACAGCTGATTCATGGATAAACAAAATGCAGTCTAGCCATGCGATGGAATACTACTGTGCCATAAAAAGCAGCGAGGTGGTGGTGCACACTGCATCATGAACCTTGAAAGTGTTTTGCTAAGTGAAAGAAGCCAGTCTCAAAGGATTACATATTGCATGATTCCATTTCTGTGAAAGACTAGAAAAGATAAATCAATAGAGACAAACTACAGAAGTATCCAGGGCAGATGAAAATTGCAAGAAAATGGAAAGTGACTACTATTAGGCACAGGGGTTTCTTTTGGGAACAATGAAATGTTCTGGAATTGATTATGTCGCACAACTCTGATATGAAAAGCTATTGTATACCTTAAGTGGGTATATTTTATAGTATAAATTATGCCTCAATGAAGCTGTTATATAAGAAGTAATAAGGGAAATTGGGTAAAGGAATACATGGGAACTCTTATTTTTCTGTAAACCTAAAACTGTTCCAAAATTAAAAGTTTAAAAGTACAAATGAAGAGAGCAGAGAGACCCAGCTCACTTACAGGCTTTCTAGGACTGAGTCTTTCCCAGCCCTTCTGTCCCATGCTGACCAGTGAAGGGGAGAGAATGTGAGCCAGCAGCGCTGAGCCCCTGAGCTGGTGTCAGAGGGGAGGACAGGTGCAGGAAAAGGGGAAGCCACCCTTCTGGAAAATAGGGCCTTGGATGAAGGGGCTCCCAGTCCAAGGTAAGTGGGAACAAACGGAGACTGACTGTACCTCTGCAAAAGTTCATGAGAAAAAGGTAAGAAGGAAAGAGTACTATACAATTTGAATGTGTCCTCCAAATTCATGGGTTGGAAACTTAATGCCCAGTGCAACAGTATTGAGAAGTGGGAGCTTTAAGAGGGGCACAGGTCATGAGGGCTTTGCCAGCATCACAGGACTGAGTTAGTTATCATCGGAGTGGGTTCTTGATAAAAAGGTGAGTTCCCACACACAAACACATACTTGTGAAATCTTTTGCCCTTCCATGTTCTGCCATGGGATGACAGAGCAAGAAGACCCTCACCAGATGTGGGTCCCTTGATCTTGACTTCCCAGGCTCCATAATTCTAGGAAGTAAATCTCTGTTCTTTGTAAATTACTCAGTCTCAGGTATTTTGTGACAGCAGCACAAGATAGAGGTGGATAAACCAGGAGGAGAGGGAGAGAGGAGGGGTATTGTGCAAAGGAAACATAAGAATACATCCTGGAATGAAATGCTTCTGGGAAGTAGAAATAGTAGATAAGAAGTGTTTTGCATTCACAAATTAAAGATTACCCGAACTCTTTGAAACAAGTGATCAATGTTGAGACAAGGCAATACAATGAGGTGAAAAGGAGATTGTAAGGACCAAGAAAACTAAAGGATGAAAATAATACTACTGCAGAGTAAGCAAATGTAGTAGAGTAATATTCATATCAGAAGTATAGCTGAAGTTTGGGGTTGTAGCACTTGTGTAGCATGCATGAAGCCCTGGGTTCAATCCCCAGCATCAAAAAGAAAAGTAGAGTTGACATGACAAAAAGCGAAGGCAGAGGAATGGAATGGATGACAGATTGGAGAAAATCACACCACATGCAGAAGAAATGAACCCAATGTGAAATGGAGGTGAACCACAAGACCACCCTGGTAACCCACAAGGAAGATACACTCACCAGCTGTTTTTCCTTTGGGCAAATCAAACTCTCTTCTGAAGTATTGTCTATAAAATTGTACTAATAACAGTGAAGCTGTTATGGTATGTACAGGCTGAAGAAAATGAGCTCTGCCCATTCCCTGCTAATATCTGAATCCTGAATCTGCCTCTTTTTACTTGTGTGAGCTTGAGCAAGTTATTTTTTTCAGCTCTTTTCTGTCAAATTATTACAACTACAGTAGCCACTTCCTAAACTCCCAGAGTAGATCAAATACTTAAAGAACTGAAGTGGCCCAGGGATTTAGCTCAGTGGTTTCATCGCCTGCTGCACAAGTGCAAGGACCTGAGTTCGATCCCCAGTACCAAAAAAAAAAAAAAAAGAAAACCAAAAAACAACAAAAAAAACTATACAAAATTAAAAAAACAAAAAGAACTGAAGGATGCTTCTTGATATAACTTTATGAATATGTGACTATTTTAGTGTATATGTATTTGGTATGTAGACAAAGTCAATGGTGAAAAATGAAAAGTTTCCATCAAAATGTCTGGCACCGTCATTATTTAACATTATTTTCTGGAAGTATTTGCTAATGCAATCAGACAAGAAAAATAAATAAAAGGAGGTGTGGTCTGATCAAGGATAATAAAAGAGGCCCAACAAGGACAAAAATTGAATGGGTAGAGGAAGAGGGGAAAGACTTGATCTTTGTGGCACCCTGGGCACAGCTAGGGTTTGGACAGCCAGAAAAAGAGGTCATCCAAGATTCCCGTTGCTGAGTTATCCTAGCTATGGTTGGCCCTACCTGTAGGTGCCACAACGAGGATTTTCTGTGGGCCCTTGGACACCTTTACTCTGCCCTTTCTTAAGATGGATTTCCAGCCTACTCATTCCCGTTTACCTAAGGGAGAATCTGATTGTTGAGCCAGCAACCTGGGCAGGGAGCATCCAGGAGCTGGGACACTGGGACGCTCCCCTTGCGTGTCCTTAAACCCAGAGTCCCAGGTGTGGATCTCTCCTCTTCAAATTCCAATCATTCTAATCACTGTTTTCCAAAGTGTGGTCAAGATACTCTGTGTAACAGATAAACTTATGTAGCATAAAAGGACACTTTACATCTATACATCTACATTTAATTTCATGTGTATGGGAAACAACACATCAAAACCATGATGCAATGGAATCAATATGAGAAAATGAAAAAATGGAAACAAAGTCTTTGAAAATAGGGAGGGATGGAGGGATTGAAGGTAGGGCAGGGGAAAGGGAAAAAAGTAAGAACCGAGAGAGATTATGTAAAGGTGCAAATTTCCAATGATGAATGTCATTATATTGTATACCTAAAATGGACCGATAAAATAATATTTTAGAAAAACCCATGATGCATGCATATTTTACTGCTTAGATGAAACTATATTTGTTTAAGTAAAAAGATAAATTTAAAGAAACTGAGGAATAGTACAGATGGTAAACAGTTGTAACAAAATTGGTGACCTAGTTATGGGCATGGCTCAGATTTAGGAACCAGGGCTTGTGTCGGTGACCAAGAACAGGAGGACTCTGGATTCTGATGAATCTGGATTCTAAATATTGAAACTTCACTTTCTAGCTACATGACCTTAGATTTTTTCTAGATCCTTTGATGACATGTGACATAAAAATCAATCACTGTACTTTTGTACAGCTATACTCCTAGTGGCATTATTTGCAGTGAGCAAAAGTGGAAACAATATCATCAATAAATAAATGGATAAAAGAAATGTAGTATATCTGTACAACGAGATAGTATTTAGCCTCAAAAAAGGAAGGAAATTTTGACACAAGGGTAAATCTTGAGAACATTAAGTTGTGTGAAATAATCTAGCCACAAAAAGTCAAATATGGTATGATTCCACTTATGTAATGTGTCCAGAGTAGCACAAACACATAGGGGCAGAAAGGCAGCTTGCTAGGGATTGAGAAGGAAATGGGTTGCAAAGTTCAGTTGTGCAAGGTAAGTTCTGCCACTGAACTGTCCACTTAAACACGGTTAAGATGGGAAGTTTGTTATGTATATTTTACTACATTTTAAAAATTGGGAAACCAAAGTGGGCTTTTCTGGGGGCAGACTGGCGGCAAGGGAAAGGCTGGGAGGGGCCCAGTTGTCACGTGGAGAAAGGCCAAAGACTTTGAAAATGGGGTGCTTTAAGATTGTGAAGCTGTGCCCTGGATTCGAAGCACATCTCCATCAAAACTGAAGCCTGCTGCACAGAGAGTTCAGTGTGAAAGGGGATTTGGGCAGCGCCGAGTGGACAGAAGTCATCTGAACGACAGGAGTGGAGCAGTACCACAAGCACTGACTGGAGGCACTCGGCCCACCACCTAAGTCTGTGGAGTGGCCGAGGACCACAGCTTTGTGAATCCTCACCCTCCCCTCCCCAGCTTTGTATGAAATTTACAGAAATCTCCAGGTAGATATTGGATTTCCCAGAGGGTCAAGGTTATCTTCTCTAAATCTTAGAGAACAGAGACACTTCTGGCACCAGGGTCATTTTATAAATGCCCCTTTTCTACTCAATTTAGCTAATCCTTTATACTTTCCAGAAATGTAACCACAGCTTTGGGGGAGGGCTGCTGTGTGAGCAGGGGATTGAACTCGGGTCCTTACACTTGCGAGGCAGGCAGCAGAACCACTGAGCTAAATCCCCGGCTGAGCAGGGGTTTATAGCCGGACATCTAGGGTTTAAATCTTCGTTCTGACACTTGTTAAGTGTGACTTTGGACACTTGGTGACACTTAGTGTTGGCTCAGTTTATTCACCTAGCAAATGGGGCAATGATATTAATATCCTACCTCATGGGGCCTGTTGGGAGAATCAAATATAGTACTGCATGCATTATTTAGGTGCCCATCACCAGCTACCACCTTTCTCTGCCTCGGTGCCTGGCACATATAGGAACGCATCTTGGTTAGAATGATCATCTCAAGGAGAATGTGGGTTCCCTAACCTCTGCTCTAACATACCCAGGCCCTGTGGCTTTTGGCTCCAGGACAGGCAGAGCCCCTTTCTAAGCTGCACGTCAGTTTACCGGAATGTAAAAGACCTAGGTCAGCTCCTGGGGGCAGCAGCATCTGGGCTTTCTCCATGGGAGCGGGTGATTCAGGGAGCCCTGCTTCTTCTGGGAGAAAGCCCAAGCACACAGCTCCTTTGGCTAGGTGAGTGGGACTGTCCCCTCCGAAGGAAGACAGGGCTTTATTAGCAGGCTCTGTGGTAGGCGATCAGGGGCTCTGAGGAGGTGGCGGGCCAGGGACTCCTGGAATTTGGGGACCACCTGAGATGGAAGCTGGAGAAGTCACCTAGCTCTGGCATCCTCAGCTCTCTGACTTTGGCTTGGATGCTTTTTCCTCTTCATCCTTGCCGGAGTGCACCTTGAGGACTTGAGCTTTGCCGATGTAAACTGGGAAGCAGGAGAAAGGCCCCCGGTGGATTACGTGGGAGCAGATGGGGAGGGAAGCCGAGTCAAACTTAGCTGGGGATGTGGGACACATGGATTCCCTTCTCTGAGCCCCACACTCCTTTCCTTTCAACATCTGGGAAGCAAAACCTAAGTGCCCACTCTGTGCCAGACACTGCTGGGCACTCAGGACTGAGCACTTGTGTTGGAATAAAAATATTTTAAAAATTAAAGTTTTGTTACTATATGTATTAACTCTATTATGTATTTCATATGTGGCCCGAGATGATTTTGCTTCACTCAGAGCCTCCCAAGCAAGCCCAACCCATGGGCGGAGGTTGGATGTGCCTGCTTTGCAGCTTGCTGGAGGAGGATGAAGTCCTCCTCTCTCTCCAGTCCGCTGCCCTCCCACAAAGGCACCAGGGTGACTGCGGGGCCTCCTCCCCGTGCTCTCTCATTCTTTCTCACCCCTTCCCGCAGCCATGCCTCCCCCAGCAGCCAGGGGCGCATGTGCTGTGCCCTGCTTGTAACCCCCTAGTGCCCCCAAGCCCTCTCTGTGAGACCACACACCTGACTTCCTGCAGGCTGACCCTGCCCACCTGCCTCGTCCTCTACCCATAGGGCCTGGCCTGCTTTTCCACTAACAGCAGGCAGGTGGGACTCTGCTTAGGGCTCTCCCTCATCCATGGGGGGCTGGATCCTTCCTGAAGTTCAGCTCAAGGAAGCACCTCCTCCGAGTCCTTCTCATCCCCACCACCCCACCAGGCCCACCCCAGGTATTTTTATTTGTTGTCTGTGCTCCTCCTCCTAAGATATGGGCCTTGTGGTACAGGAACTTGTCTGAATTCTTTCCCACCATGTAGGAGGTGCTCGGTAAATAGTCAATGAGTGAATGAATAGGTGAATCAAGCAGCTTCCTTGGGTAGGGACCCATCTCCAAGTTGCCTGCATCCCCCAGAGAATCCAGGGTGCAAGGCATGGGCTCCCGGCGTGACTCCTCGAATGAAATCTCACCTGGTTTTTCGCTTTGGGGCAGAGGTGGTGACTTGGCCTTCTTCAGGGATTGACTACAAACAAATACAAAGGAGAGGCTTGGGGGGCCAGGGGGTGGGCAGGTGTGGTCTGCTGCCCACTCTGGTGGAGGTGAGTCACACGACCTGGATAGTCAGACCACAACTGTCCGTGGCTGGAGCCAGGCGGCTCCCACCTCCCCCAGCTGTGATTCTGTGCCTCTGGGGCCACTGGAGGCCAGGGCCTATTGTCCCTGGAGTGGAAGGATGGCCACTGTGCCACTGTCGCAGCTCTCTCCTCAGGCCCTTGTTCACACCCTGCAGTCAGGAAGACCTGTCTTGCATTTGAGTGTGGAGAGACAGGAGGCTCTTGTCCAAGGTCACCTTCCGCACTGGGCCCTTCCTCTGGCCTCTCACTGTGAGAAAACCAAGTCCAGGCCAGAGCACGAACCCATGCCTTCAGCAAACCTAAGCCCAGCCATCCCTGCCTCTGCTCCCCAAGCCTGCCCACCTCCAGCTGCCCCAAGCTCCCCACTGCCTGAACAGTGCACCCTCCTGACTTCCACACCTTCGCCTGTACTCCTCCCACTTCTGGGATGGCCTTTTCCCATCCTTTCATCTGCTCCTTCAAGGCCTATCAGTGCACCCCCAACTCAGCCAGGCATACTTGGGTGATTGTTAAGAATACATACCCCTGCTTCACCCTAGTGCTGACGGATTAGTCTCCAGGGGTCCAGCTCAGTCCTGTGCTCTCCCACTGAGCTACACCCGCTGCCCTGAGCTACTGCGTTTTGAACAAGCTCCCTGGATGAGTTTGAATGCTACTAGGCTGGGAGTCAGACAGGCCCACCAGGTGACTTTGGGCAGGTCCTCCAGCTGTCCCCAGGCCTCAGTCTGCCTCCTCCCATACCAGGGATTGAACTCAGGACCTTGCACTTTTGAGGCAGCCACAGTCCACTGAGCTAAATCCCTAGCCCTTTGCTCATCCACAAAATGGAAGCAATACTGCCTTTGTGGTTGCTAGACTAGACACGTCCAAGACACTTAGACAGACATAGTGGCCCTCTAAGTTGCTCTTTCCTTCACCGAAAGACAGGCTGTACCACCCACTTTGTGAGGATTTACCTTTTTTCCCTGCAGTACTGGGAGGGAAACCCAGAGGTGCTCCACTACTGAGCTACATCCCCAGCCCTTTTTGATTTCGAGACAAGGTTCCCCTAAATTGCTCAGGCTGACCTTCAACTTGAGATATTCGTGCCTCAGCCTCCTGAGTAGCTGGGATTATAAATGTTCAGCACTACATATTATACCGAGTTGGTAATGAGTCCCCTTTCTTCATAATTAATCCCTTTCTCCTCCAACCATCTAGGACACTTGATACCCATATACTTTAGCCTGCCTTGTGTCGAATTCCATCCTACCTGTGTCTTCCTGTAGACCAAGTGCTTCCGAGGGCTGGATGGGGCTCATCAGCCTTCCCTTGTTATGATTGACCCCACTCCCACTGGCAGTCAGCAGGACCTAGTGGGTCCCTTGGGGAGGAGCTGGTCCTCTTACTCCAGGCAGGCTCAGGCAGCCCAAGCTCTGGCCAGCACCAGGCTCCCTTCTCTGGACCCTATAGATCTCACCCAGGAGGCTGAATGCTGACCGTGAGGAAGCAGTTCTGGGAACAGAGGGGCAGATGGGGGTGTGGAACCCACCTGTAGGGTGGCTGTGGCTTCTCTTGAGGTGGCTCTTGGACTTCCTGAAGTTGGTCCAAGAGCGTTTCTGCTGGAATGGAGTCTAGGGGTCGGGGGAGGAGCTGAGCCACGGCAGTTTGCAGGAGGCCTAGAGCAAGGTCTTTCTCTGCAAGCACAGCCCAGGTAGCGGGCTCAGGCCAATCCCTTTCTGGGCCTCCCCATCTCGGCCAGCCCTGGGCGCAAGCAGCTCTCTCTAAACTCCCACATTCTGCCCTGCATCTCTCTCTTGGCCCCTGTGACCACTGAGAGCCCAAAGCTTCCTTACTTTTCTTCCACCACACAACCAAAGTGCACCTTGTTCTCAGCCCACCATGCTGGTGGCCACCCTCCCCTTCTTCCTCCTCCTCCTCCTGGCTTTCATCAGCCCTCACCCTGCCACAGAGACACAACCTGCACCCACTGTCCCACCCAATGTGTTTCTGTATGTGCATTTGTGTGTCCTTGTCCATGCATGTGTGTTCTTATATTTGCTCCTGTGTGTGCCTTTTCCACAGTAGCATGTGAGGGACTATGTTTGCTAAGTTTGATTCTTAAACTTCTCCCTCCACCCCTGTGCCTAGGCTTGGGCTCAGCATGAAGGGGGAGACCCCCCACAAGGGGCAGAGCTCCAGAAATCCTACTGGAGACTAGAAGAGGACAAAGCAGGACATTGTCCAGCTGGACAATGAGTTTCTTTGGAGCCCCAAAAAGGAGAAGCCGAACAACCCTAGGGTTGGGAGTGAAGCGACATCTGCAGAACCAGAGAGCAAGGGAGGGATCCTGACAGCCTCCATGCAGAGAGGGGGCCTGCGGCTGTGTGCTCACCCTGAAGGGGCGCGTAGAGCAGCCAGAGCTGGATGGCACTCAGTGAATCTGTCTGCAGAATCTGGCAGAGAAGCTCCAGGATCTGTGGGCAGGAGAGTGGGCTGGGTCAGTGAGACCCCACACATGTTCCTCCAAGCAGACCAGGCAAATGTGGGTTCAGGGGGCACCAAAGGCCCACACCCCTGAAGTGGGCTTTCCGAGCCACACACTCTGATTTCCATGAAGGTCCCTGCCTCCGCTCTCACGGGACCCTGCAACTTGTAGAGGGCTCCCTCTTACAATAAGCCCAGGGGATATTCGTTCATTCTTTCCTTCTCCCTGTCTTTTTCCCTCTCTCCCCTCTCCCTTCCTTCCTCCTCCTCCTCCTCCTCCTCTTGTTCTTTCTTCTCTCTGTCTCTCTCTCTCTCTCTCTCTCTTTCATGGGGGGTATGGAACCAGGGTCTCACACATGCTAGGCATGCACTCTACCACCCAGCTATACCCCCAACCTCTGGAGGAAGATTTTGGGGGAGTACTGGGAACTGAAACTAAGGCCTTTGCACTGAGTTACATCCTCAGCCTTTTTTTTAAATTTTAAGACAGGGTCTCCTAATGTGCGAAGTTGCCCAGGCTGGACTCAAGCTTATTACGATCCTCCTGCCTCAGCCTCCCAGAGTGCTGGTATTATAGACATAGAGTACTACACCCAGCTGGAGAAAGATTCTTAACCTTTCCTCTGGACCGGCAAAGAATCCAAGGCTTTGCCAGAAGAAGGCACTTAACTGTGTGGCAGAATTAAGCCTCAGCATCACCTATGTGGCGAGCTCACACCTGGAGCCTGGTGTGCCCTATCGTCCCTCCCTGGGGAGGCAAAGTCAGAGCTGACCAGTCATTCCTCAGAGATGCACAGGGTCCCACGTGCCTGAGTCCCCCATAGGCCTCCCCACCCCGGAGCTCCCAGAGTCTGGAGATGTTAGCAAGGAGGAGAGCGAGTCCCGTCGAGCAGCCCATGGGTCAGGGAAGGCTGGTTTTGCCAGCTGCTACGAGTGCGGCTTTTTCCTGCTGAGCAGCAGCACACTGGGCCTCTCCATACATGCTCAGCTCTCGTTGGCTTTGCCACTTCGGGGCTCGTTTTCCCCTGTGCTCTCCAGTCAAGTAGCATCAGGAGAAGATCCAACTCCATCTGGGATGGGTTAGGGGTCTTGCTAGGCCAGGTTTCTGATGGTAGCTGTACCCATGGCAGGCTGGAGTTGGGGCCTGGGGTGGGAAGTGGAGCCCCGAAGCCCTAGGAAAGTGGGGTTCCCTCAGGAGTCTGTCTTTCTAGGACCCATAGGGGCTTGTCAGACCCAGCAGGTCAGCCTGCTCCTTGGCAGACTGGGAACCGGGCTGAACCTCTCCCCAGGCCTGTGCCTGCCCACCCCCAACCCCCAGACCCACCTACTACGGGGACTCCCCCATCTGCCCCAGTGCCCTGCTCCATTCTCTGGATCCAACTTACCTGCCCTGAGCCCCCTCCCCACAGGGCCCGAGAACCTAATTCCAGACACGTTGATGATGCCCTAAGGTGGAGAGAATGCTGGCTCTAGTCCCGGCTATGCTGTCCTTCGCTGGGGACCTGGGTCACAGAACACCACTAGTAGGGCCTCAGCCTCCCCAGCTGTGGGATGCACATCCTGGGCCCTGGCTCCTCTAGCTACTTGGCTGGACAGTGGCCAGGCTCCAAAGGCACTGCTGGCCTGAAAGAAGGGATTTCTGAATGTGCGGGCTGCATGTCTGCCCTTCCCTGGAGGGCGCACATGGATTTTAACGGTGACCCAATGCCCTGACCCACCAGAAGGGAGCGTGGACTCATCTTGGCCCTTGATGGAGAAACTTGAACACAGAGCAGATGGTCTCTGAGCTCTGCTGAAGCACAGACGGAATCCCTCTCAGGGTGGGAGACCTGGGTGCAGGCTAGGGGATGCAGCCTCCTGGGTGTGGCTTCGGAGCACACTGGGTGGCACCTTCACCTCCTTGCCTCTCAATCTACCCTGCAGCTCCCCTTGTGACTCATCAGGTGCCGCAGCTGGGATGGACCTTCGATGACATCATCCTCAGCTCCCAAGTGCATAGACCATGGGACTAAGGCCCTTAAGGGGAGCGTACTCACACAGAAAGGGACAGGCTGGCCCAGGCTCCCTAGAGGCAGTGATCAGAGCCTGGGCTGCTGATACCCCAGGTGGAAGTTTCCCAACTTACAGACCTCATCGTTGTAGTACCAGCGTCCCCAGGAGAAGCCATGCCCTAAAGCAGCCTAGAAAGGTGCTAGTTGGGAGATCTGGGAGCAGGGACTGCTATGGCCTCCGTGCCCAGAGCAGGGCTCACCAGAAGCTCCTGGTCCTGCAGGAGGGAGGCCTGGGCTCCTCCATCTCTGTTGGAAGAGTGGCTCCGCTGTCGCTGGTGAAAGCTGCGGCGACTGAGAGCTTGGGTGGAGACAGGAATGAGCCTTCCAGTCTCAGCAGAGTACTTTGCTCCCCGCTCCCTTGGAGGCTCCTCCTTCTGCTGGGACAAAAGAGACCAGAGACTCCAGGAGCCAGTGAGAGGGAAGGAGGAGGCAGAGGGAAATGGCGAGAAGAAGGCCAAGTTACCTCTCCAGGGCTCCATCTCCCCAGTCCAGCATCATAGTAATACCAGGGACACAGACTACCACCCAGGCCACCACTGCCCTCTTGGATGGAGGCCTTCCACCAGAAGAGCTTCCACTAGCAAGAGCTCTTCATCCCTAAGCTCAACATCTATGGTTGAGCAATGGGTGCCCTGGGGGGTCCTTGTTCTTCCACCAATCTTCCCTGCTCCCCCTTCCCCAGCCCGTTAGAGATTTGAAAACAGCATTCTGGTCAAGGCTGCACTGCCTACCTTCATCCCAGGTTGGCTGTCTCCTTCCTTTGCCCTGGCCTGGGGGCCCCCCTGCCCTTGCAATTCCAGTTAAGCCTTATAGCCTCCTTCTTCCCATTTTAAAGATAAGAAACCAAGACCTAGGCAGCTTAGCTGCTGCACTGAGTGCTGTAATAAGTTAGCTGAGAGCAGCAACAGAGGCCAGGTCTCTGCTTTTCTTCTCTGGTTACCTAAGATGAGGGGTAGAAGCAGACTCAGCCACAAGGGCCAGGCCTGTCCTTAGACCTCCTTCTGTCTGCCTCTTGATTGTCTTTGCCATTTTATTACCAAGCAGCAATTATGAGGTCACCCCCACCCCATTAAGTATCTCATTATGTATCCATGTCCCCAAGGCCACCTTTCCTAGGAACCCCTCTTGGGTTTCTTGTTCTCGCCCTCCTTTGACCCTCACTGACACCCCCCTCCCAGCGCCAAGAGCAGAGCTTTGAGGAATTTCCTTACAGAGGGCTGTCTGTTTCTTCAATGCCCAGGCTCCTTCCTGGCTCTGCACCCACCTCTTTGTTCTTCAGTTCTGTCTCCTTGGTAAAGACAGCCACTCGGGAAGTCAGCTCCTTCAACTCCCTCTTCCAGGGCTCTGGGAGGAGGGAATAAGATCCTTGGCTCTGCTCCCCCTCCCTGAGGAACCAGGGCTGGGAGGGCAGGGAAGGCACAGCACCAGGTGGAAGACCGCCCCGCCCATTCCTCCAGGCCTCCCTGTCCCAGTCTTAACGGAAAGGGGGAGGCAGTGTTCCAGAGTGAGGAGGATTATGAATGGCACCATGGGTGGGGTGTGGTCACTTTACTTCTAAAGGGGGTGGTGTTGATGTCCTTCCTGGGGCGTTGCTGGGACATGCTGGTGAGCATGTTGGTGGATGCTTGTGTTTGGATACACACCGTCTGATATAGCTTCACTTCCTTTAGGTACCTGGAGCCAGGACTGAGATATGGGCGATACACTACACCCTTATTGACACACTGAACCACTTCTGGAGAGGTGATGTAAACTCCATAGCCAGCTGCAAATCTTTCCTGCCTTGTGCTGGCTGCCTAGCCCGTTTCCCAGGAGCTCCCTCTCTGCCCCTACCAACCTGACTTTCCTACACCCTAGTAGCAGAGTAGGTAGAGCTTGGCAGGGCAGAGGCCTCCAGAAGGCTATGCCAGCACTGTGGCTGATGGGTCTGATTGCTCGGTGCCTGAGCATGCAAGTCACTAAATATCGCAATTCCTGTCTGTAGCTGTAAACCACATGACTGTTGTCAAAATCAGCTTGATCTTTGTTATTTTATTCCTCCTCAAACATCTCAAATCTAAGCAGGGGCACTTTTCTGAGGCCTTCAACCTGGGGATGAGGTAGGGAATAATGCAGAGATGAGGCTGCCTGAGGAAATGAGGGAGAAAGTGGGGTCATCCTTCGGCCCCACCAACATGAGAGCAATGGCCCCTTTCTTTCTCAGGCACCCACCCAGGTAGGGCAGCCCTTGGGGACAGGTGTGAGCCCCCAGGAAGAAGGGTGTGGCCCAAGTACTCACCAAAAGAGAGCCAGGGGTTCCGATTGGACTGTGGGTCCCCGATGGGTATAGAGATGGTGGGCATCCCCGTCAGACAGCGGGGTAAGGGGGTAGACCAAGGCAAGGGGATCAGAGAGAACTCGTCCCTCACGACACAGACGGGCTTCCCAGTGAGATCTGCAAAGGGTTAGGGGTGGTGGGAGGGGCCCTCTCTGGACCTCAGGAGCTCCAGGAGGCCAGAAGAGACTGGGGGCAGGGAGAGAGAGCTCCGGCTCCACTGTTCCGGTAACCACCAGCCCAGCAATCATCAGAGCTGAGAGGCCCTGTGACCCACCATCACCTCATCCACGGGGCACTGAGAAATGGACCGAGAAAGGATGTTTTCCAGTCTTTGAAACCTCTCCATCTTGGGGTCCCTGAGGTTTTCCAGTTGCTCAGGCAGAGAACCCCAGAGGGAGTCTTGAATCCTCTCTTTCTCATACTCACTTTCAATCATCAAACCCTGTTAGCTCTGCCTCATGACTGTCCCTAGGAAAGGCCAATGCACTCTTCCATGCTTGATGGTCCGAGCCATTATCAAGATGGAGGCCAAGGTGACCTTGCTAACAGATCTCACTTCTGAGTTCTCAACCCTCCGATGGCCCAACTGACTCTGAGGCAGCTCAGTGGTGACACTAGTGGCTGGTAAGTCCCAGCTAACCTGGCCCCGTCGCCTCCCTGACATCATCTCCTTCCTCTCCCATCCTCTCTGGTCCAGCCACACCTGGAACTTCCTTGCTGTTCCTCCAGCAGAGCTGGAGTGCTCTAGCTCAGGGCATTTGTATTTGCTGATCTATCTGCCTGGGGCTTTATTAGCGCTGGTTTGTGCATAGTTCACACACTCGGCTCCTTTAATGTTTTGCTCAAATGTCATGTTATTGCCTAGGTCTTTCATGGTCACTTTTTCTTTCTGTTTTGTGGAGCTGAGGGTTGAATTCGGGGACCTGTGCATGCGAGGCGAGTGCTCCACTGAGCTACATCCCCAGCCCTCATGGCTGCCTTTGCAAAGTAGCAGTCTCCCCTTTGTGGCCTTTGTACTGACACCTGGTCTGTTTCCCATTCTTTGTACCGATGTCAGCTCCAGGAGAGCAGCAACAGTGTCCTGTTGTTCACTGTTGTGTCCCCAAGACAGAAAGCGCCGTCTTCTAGTTTGCACCCAGTAAATACTGATGATGAATGGATGAATGGATGGACAGACGAAAGGCTGAGTGGATGAAATGGCCTCAGGCAGAAAGCACAGCTCAGCTCCGGGGCAGAGAGGGACACCCTGGAGGGGACCCTGGCACACCCTTGGAGCCTGTGCTTCACTCCTGTCCCCAGGTCAGTCCTGGCTTGGCCACTAGGCAGCCGTGGGACCCTGGTTAGACCTCACGCTCTCTGGGCCTCAGCCTGGGCTGGGCTGGAGGGAACACTTCCCTCCCAGTTCTCAAGGTCAATTAGCCATCAACCTTCCACACCCATCCCACCCTAACCGGGATGTGCGGACCTGGGCCTACCTTGGATATGGGTCACACGTTTCGGGTGGGGGTGGTGCCTGGAGAAGAAGGAGTGGTGGCTGAGACAGCCAAAGCGGTAGGTGCCGGCGGTTTTGGGTTTGGGGGTCCTCAGCACCTCTTGGATCAGCTCCAAATCCACAACGCCTGGGATCACCTGTGCTTTCTGTGGCCCACTGTCCCCATGGCTCTCTGGCCGGTGCCCAGACTTCTTCTCCGGTTTCAGCTTGGCCTTTGGACTGAAGGAGAAGATTTAAGGGGAAGTGACCGGAGCTTTGGTCTGGCAGCAGTGCCCACCCCGACTCTGAGCTGGGTGTGTGTCCTCGAGCCCATCCCCAGAGACTCAGAAATCTTCCTGGATTTCACCCCTCCCCCACCAGGGCACCCAAAACTCAGCTACCCCAGAGTGCTTTTCCCAGTGGCACCATCCAGTCCCAGGGACCCTGTGTCTTCCTAAGAGCCTCCTTAGGTTCCCCAGTCCATCTGTGAGAGCTCAGATGGAATCTCCCAGAACCCCAGTTTTCTTCCAGAGAACAAATCTGGAACTAGAAAGAAAAGCCTCAGACCTACCTATTCCTCCACACACCTGCGGTGGAGCAAAGGCCCCTTATATGCACCTCCTAGGGGCAGGGGTTGGCCCCAGCAAGTCCTGTCCTCAAGCCCCGCTGTTGGCAGCCCTGAGGAGCCAGCTGTCACCCTCCCCCTCCAGGCGGTCCTGGGCCAGAGCCAGGGCCAGAGCCAGAGCCAGTGCAAGGCCAGGTGGGCCATCCTTTTCCCATAAGGTCCCTCCCAGGAGATGCAGAACTGACAGGCAGCTGTCAGGGCTGTGACTCTGTGGGGAAGCGTCACACGCTAGCTGGGCTTCTAAGGAGACCAGCAGGTCTGTTCCCTGCTCCCCACCTCATCCTGAGGACGCTGAGCCTCTGCTCCCCAAGGGAGAGTGGAGGTCAGCCCAGCAAGGATCCGAAGGTCAGGCCACTTCTGCCGGGGTCTGGTGTAGACACCTGCCTAGTGGCTGTCTGAACTCCCTTCTCCTGGCTGAAGGGGGTCCCTCTGGAGGAGAATAGGTGGGCTCTGGATATGCTAAGCCAGGAGTGCTGCCCTTGGACCCTGTGAGGATTTTGCCGACCCTGCCCCTGGGTTTCCTGTTCCAGTCTCCATTCTCCTCTAGGGAATCTAGGACTTAAAGAAAAACTATAAACCGCCTTTGAAAGCCAGTTAGCTACCTCCTCTACCCCTAAGTAATAGAGGACGTGGCCTCCTAACCATCCCCAGAATGCCTGTGCTCTGTGTTCCTGCCCTGCCTGTGTCTTCTCCTACCCAGGGAGGGTCCTGTGAAGCCTGTGCTAACTTAGCGGAGGACCCACTGGGGGCCTAGCTGGTGGCAGAGCAGGGTGAGGAAAGCCTGCCTCTCCTGGATCTCCATGCTATTGAACTCCTGCAGGCTGTCTCTGTCTTCCGCCCCGTCCTGCTCCCAACACCCGTGGTCAGCAGGTGAATGGTTGGGCCTTACCTTGTCAGTGGATGTTCAGCCAACTGAGTCCTCACCTCTGCCGCCATTGTAATGTTTCTAATGGAATAAAGACCAGTGTCTTAGTGCTCAGGATGAGTGACAGGGACTCCTATGGACCAGAGGTGGGAGTATAACCTGGGACAGATTCTTTGGGGGAAAAAGGAACAATAGTTTGTAAAACTGAACACTTGCCTGCTGTATCACCCAACAATTTCTGTTCCAGGCATAGAGAAACTTGCAGAGCTGTACAACAGGGGCCATTGATAAGAATATTCCTATTAACATCACCCAAAATAGCAAAACCCTGTGACAACCCAAATGTCCAATGGCAGAACAATGAATAAACAAGGCATGTTACATCTAGGCAATGGAGCATTTTATGGTTATGAAAATAAATGAGCCCCAGTTATATGCAACAACATAGTGAATCTTACAAATATACAGCTAAGTCAAGGAAAGCATGTTTCAGACCACACAGCAGGACATCTCTTTTTAAAAGGAAAGTTCAAAGGCAAACAAAATGATTGTAAATATGTGACTGAACAATAACAGCAAAAATTGTGGCTATTTCTGGATAGAGGAAAGGTGGGAAGGAGAAAAGCAAAGAGCACACAGGAGACCCATCAGTGATGATATTTTAGTTCTTGGTGTGGGCGGTGCATTTACTGGTGTTCATTATACTATTAAATAAACTAACTAGACGAAACAAGTGAAAGAAGGCAGATGTTAAAACCAAGAATTATGATTAATCTAAATCTGTGGACCTGTTAAATATATATATAATTTACATTCAATATTTGCATACATTGCTAGGGATGGTTTGCGAAAGGAAATCAATGCATTCTGAGAATTAACCCTCAGGGACCCCCAGTGACCCCCCAGAGCCAGTCTCTATAAGGTTATCGAGGGAGGGATTGGCCTTGTTTGAGGTCAAGGAAGAGGAACAACTAGCAGAGGCCACACAGCCAGGAACCAGAGTCCAGACATCTGGCTCACAGGCCCCTGATCTTTTCTCTAACAAGAATGGGCAGAGCTTCCTTTTTAGGAAGCCTCAGCACCCTCAGTGACAGGCTGAGCTCTAGAGAACACAGGGCATTTGGAAGCCCTGAATCCACCCATCTACAGGAAAAGGAACTTTTAGAACACGCTTTCAAGTATTTTTAACCATGATAACATTAAGAAATTCATTTTTCTACCAGGACTCAATTCACATATGTGTGCATGCTTGTGTGTGCATATAAGACTGAAACCAGAGTACCCTGGAGCAATATCATACTACATGTGATGTGCACAGATGCATGTATCCTAGGTTTTGTTTCCATTTTTTGAATGTTAGACATGACCCATCAAACTGCTGCAATAAGCACTCAGGAGTCATGATCCACAATGCTGGAGAGAGGTCAGCAGGGACCTGGCAGGTCAGGAACACTTTCTCCAGAGTGAGACACGTGGGACCATTGGGGCCACCTCTGCCATGCCCTGTGTCCCTGAGCCCCCTGACAGTCAGATCCAAGAAATCTGAAGGCTGCCACTGATCCACCGCAGGACTTCCCCTCTGCCCCTGCCTTCAGGGCCCTCTTCGGGGTCCTGGTCTGGTTCCAGGAGCTATTTCTTCCCTGGAAAGGTCCTGGACTCACCAAGGAAGGTGCCTGCTACAGCATGTAAGCAGGAAACCCCTACTACCTGAGCAGGAAGGCAGGAGAGGACACACCAAGGGGCAGTCTCCTCAGTGCTGTGGATGAGTCTGCCGCTCTGTGACTGCACTGAGCCAAGCGGTTGCTAGGTTACCCCTTCCCCACAACTCCAGAACCACTCCCAGCACCCCTCACCCAACACACATATACCCAGCTCCTCTTTCTCTCTCCTGGACTTTCTCTTGTCCCTCCAAGCTCCTCCTCTACTTTCCATCCAGCACTTCCAGTGGGGACCCAGGGAGAGAAGGCTGACTAACTGGTTTGGCCAGCTATCAGCAGGCAGAGAGGAAATCTGGCTAAGGATGCTGCTTGTGTAGGTCCCAGCTTTATCAGCCACACCCTGCCTGACAGGGCATGGAGGGGTTTCCCTGGGGACCCATCCTCAGGGGGTTGTCTCTTAGAGGAGACCCACTATGAGATCCAGAGTGTCCCTTCAGCCTCAGTTGGTGGGACAGCTAGGCGGGCAGATTCTGGATTTTCAGTTAGGCAGAGATTCCAAGCAGGTTCTGACACCTTTTAGCTGTGTTGCTTTGGACCATGCCACCCCTGTACTGTCAGACATGTGGAACTCTGGGTTCAGCTCCCCATTCTGGTACTTCCTAGCTGTGTAGCATCAGCCAACTTACCCAGCATCCCTGAGTCTCAGTTCCCATACCTCTGAAATAGAGATTATGCTCCTGGTTATTCCCTATTAGAAAAATTAAAGTGAGTTAATACACATTCAAGGGTTTAGAATAGTGCCTGACACCAAAAGCCATCTCTAGCTATTACCACCTTGTTGGGCCCTGTAACATGGGGCCCTTAATCTTCTGAGTTTGTTGTGAAGAACAAGTGAGCTAATGGGCGTGAGGCACCTAGTTGTAAGTCTGGCATACAAGAGGTGCTCAAAAAGATAATAATAATCATTGTTACTGGTAACTTGACAGAGATAGGATTATGAAGTGGAGTGGGTCCTTAGTTCAGAACTGACTTGAATAATTCACTTTGTTTCTCTGAAGCTCAGTGTGGATGCCTGTCAAATGGAGATAAGGATAATCTTTGGACCATAGGGCTGGGGTGGCTGTAAGGGGGGCAAAAGGGATCTGTAAACTAGGGGAAGGCTCACAAATGGTGCTTGATGCTGTCCTAGGAATGAGGATGCTGGTCCTCAAAACCGACTGGGGCAAATCTATCTGAGAGTCTTTGTTCTCAGCATCTGTGGCTTTGTATCAGTGCCGCGAGGCATCTAGACTGGCTAACTCCTGAAGCAAGCAGATGGGTAGTTAGAGGCAAGCTTAAGCCCTTCTAAAGTTCTGCCCCTTCCAGCTGAGAGGGGATTCAAACCACTATGGTAGTCCATGGAAGGACCCTCTGAACTTGGCCTTCCTCCATAAGCTTCCTCAGCCACATGGGTTGGAATGACCCCTGTGTGCTGTCTTATTTTTCCTAGGCCTGTTTCTGCAGGACTCAGGTGAAACCATTCTGGAAATCCCCTTCTACATGCTTCTGAGCATTCTGGTGACTGTGAGACAACATAATACTGTGTTTGAAAGATGAGAGGCTTTCTTCCCTTCCTCGTGGCTTTCAGCACTAGAGATTTCCTGCCATGCATGCTGAGACAGCTGAGACACAAACCCACGCTCACCCTCCCCATGCTGCCTTTCGATACTTCTGTTGGATTTACAGCTGAATGAAGCGTCTGTGTGCAGACTGTGATGTGGGAGGGGAAGGAGATGCCTTAAGAAGTGTCTTCAATGCTGGTTTGTAGAAGATTTCCTTCCATCAGATTTCCTTCTTTGTGGAGCTCAGAAACAGGAGTGAGATCTGTCTGCCTGGAAATGGTTTGAGGCAGTCCTCTGCCTTGATCAATGCCGCAGTTGTAAGAGGAGTAATATAAAACCTTGCGACACACTTCCTGTGTGCCAAACGCTGTGCTAATCCCTTCAATGCAATATCTCACTTAATCCTGTAGATGAGGAAACTGATGATCAAAGAAGTCCTTAGCTATGTGATAAAATCATATTCCTCCATCTGTGGCTTGTTCTTCTGTCTCTAATGCAATCTTTTGGGAAAGATAACATCTTAATTTCAATATAGCCCAATTTACTAAGTATATTCTTTTTTTTCACTAATTATATTCTTAATAGTGGGTTTTGTATCCTATTTAAGAGATCTTTACCTACCCAAGTTTATAAAGATAGTCTCCATATTATTTTTACCTTTCAAATTTAGATCTGTGATAAATCAGGAATAGATTTTTGTATACTGTATAGTATAAGAGTCAAGATTAATAGATTTTTTTTCTATATAAATATCCATTTGACCCAGTACCATTATTTAAAACACTGTCCTTGTCCTGCTTCTCCATATTACCACATTTATCAAAGTTCAGATGTCTGTACTTCTGTGGGTCCATATCTGGACTTTCTGTCTATCATTGCATGGATACTGTAGCTTTTAATTACTGTAGCTTTAAGAACATTTTGATATCTAGTGGTGCAAGACTTCTTGTTTTCTGTTTTAAATTGTCTTTGTTTTTCTAGTTCCTTTGGCCTTGCATATAAACTTTAGAATAAATTATCAATATCTACAAAAAATTTTGCTGGAGTTTTAGTAGTAATCAGGTTAATTTTTTTTTTTTTTTGGTACCAGGGATCAAACTCAGGTCCTTGCGCTTGCAAGGCAAGCGATGGAACCACTGAGCTAAATCCCTGGCCCTGGTTAACCTTGTATATTTATTTGAGGAGAATTGAAATCTTTACTATGTGGAGTCTTTGAATCCATGAGCATGGTATGTCTTTTCATTCCTTTATTTAATTACAAGGTGCTAGGGTTTGAACTCAGGGCCTTGAAAGGTTTCAGCTTTTTGAGAAGTTGTAAATGATATTCTATTTTTTTATTTTGATGGGCATTGCTAGTGTATGGAAATACAATTGATTTTTGTACATTCAGTATCCTGTAACCTTGCCAAACTCATGTTTTAGTTCTAGGAGATATGTTATAGATTCACTGAGATTTTCTACATATATAATAATATAATCCACCAATGAGGACAGTTTTCTTTCTTTCTTTCTAAACTACATGTCTTTTAGTTCCCGTTCTTGCCTTGTTACATTGCCCAGAATTTTTAATGCTGTGTTGAATAAGAATAGTAAGAGTGGATATCCATGCCTTGTTCACCATCTTGGGGAGCAAGCATTGTCTTTTTTTTTTTTTTTTTTTTTGGTACCAGGGATCAAACTCAGGACCTTGCACTTTTGAGTCAGGTGGTGAAGCATTAAGTCTTAACCACTAAATATGATAGTTGCAGGTTTTTTGTAGATGTTCTGTATCATTAAGGAAGTTCCTTTCTATTTCTATTTTCTGAGTGTTTTTGTCATTAAAGGATATTGAATTTCATCAAGTGCTTTTTCTGCGTCAACTGACATAATCATATGTTTTTTCTTCTTTAGCTTATTAATATCATAGATTACATTGACTTTCAAAAATTGAACGAGATTTGCATCCCTGGAATAAATTCCACTTGGTCATAGTGTACCATTCCTTTAAATGTTGCAGAATTATGTTTGCTGATATTTTGTTAAGGATTATGATAGTTATTGTCTTGGTCTGCTTTTGGTATCAGGATAATACAAGCTTTATAAATGAATTTGGAAGTTTTTTTCTTCCATTTTCTGGAATACATTCTGTAAAAATAGTGCTAATTCTTTTTTAAATGTTTGCTACATTTTACCATTGAAATCATCTGACCTGGAGATTTATAGTTTGGGAATTTAAAAATTATAAATTCAATTTCTTAATAGCTATACTGCCGTTCTAACAAAAAATTTTTAGTACTGGGGATTGAACCCAGGGCCTTAGCACTGAACTATGTCTTGTCCTTTAACATTATTATTATTATTATTATTTTTTTTGGTACCGGGGATTGAACTTGGGTCCTTGCGCTTGCACAGCAGGCGGCAAAACCACTGAGCTAAATCCCCGGCCCCCTTTAATGTTATTTTTTAAAATTTTCAGACCGGATCTTGCTAACTTGCTAAGTTGCCTATACTGAGCTCAATCTTGTGATCTTCCTGCCTCAGCCCCCAGAGTGTTTGGATTATAGGTCTGTGTTACCATACTTGGCTTCTACTATATTGGTGAGTTGAAATAGTTGGTATTTTTCAAGGAGGTGATCTATTTCTCCTAAATTGTCACGTTTATTTGTGTAAAACTGTTAGTAATATTCCTTTATTATTATTATTTTTTTATCTCTGTAGAGTATGTAGTGATATTCCCGATTTCATTCTCAGCATTGTTGATTTGCCATTTCTTTTCTTTTTTTTCTTTGTCAGTGCTCTGGATGGAGATTTTTATTGATTTAGTTTTATTGATCTTTTCAAAGAACTAGCTCTTCATTTTATTAATTTCTTTCTATCTTCAGTTTTGTTTTCTGTTTTTACCTCCATTATTTCCTTTTTCTGCTTGCTTTGAGATTTCTATTTATTTTGTTCTTTTTCTAGGTCCTTGAGATGAATTCTTAAATTCTTGACTTGATTTTTTCGTCTTTTCCAATATATGCATTTGTATACTTAGTTTTCTAAATTTCCCTCCTACTGCTGCTTAGCAGTGTCCTACAAACTTTCATTTACTATATCTTCATTTTTTAGTTGAAATATTTAAAGAATTTATTTTAAGACCTCACTCTAATCCATGGATTGTTTAGAAGTGTAGTATTTAGTTTCCAAATATTTGAAGATTTCCCCTTTATTCTGCTATTTTTTCTGGTTTGATTCCACTGTGGTTGGGGAACACACTTTGTATTATTTTAATTCTTTTAATTTGTTGAGGTTTTTTTCATGGCTCAGGATATGATATATGTTGGTAAACATTCTATGGACACTTTAAAAGAATGCATATTCTACCATTGTTGGGTAAAGTTTTCTGTAGTGCTGATTAGAGCCTGTTATTTGGTATTGAGTATTGTTGAGTTCTTATACATTCTTGCTGATTTTCTGGCTGGTTCTATCAATTGTTGAGAGAAGCTTGAGTATTTAACTATAATTGTGGATATGTCTGTTCCTCTTCATTTTTAT